TAATTCTTTAATGAACAACCTGATCTGAATAGAAATCTTATGTAGGTTTTGCAGAAGAAGATTTCAACAAGAGCATAACCTATACCTAAAGGAGTAAGAAATAAACAATTTCACTATTCTGAAATTTGAAATGATTCAGAATTTTTATAGGTTATCTACCTTGGTGATATGTTTCCTTCAGTGAGTTGTCATATTACAATATTTGTCATGATATTTGATATGATTTACTAGTGCACTTCTAAGAATGTTAACTGTACCCGTAACACCTATGCCTATTAAACAACCAAACAGCAGTTTACCACCCTGAATGTGCCCCATCTAGTCTGAAATGCTTGGACATGAGACCTCTCCTTACAATAAGGGTCATTTTTTTGAATTGGGTGAAAGAAATTATGATTCTTAGAATATATCATGAAAGTGTTGTTGTTTTTTAATTTTTAAAAAATCTTTATTTATTTTTGAGAGAGAAAAAGAGAGAGAGAGAGAGAGAGAGAGAGACAGATAGATAGAGCATGAGTGGGGGAAAGGCAGAGAGAGAGAAAGACACAGAATCCGAAGCAGGCTCCAGGCTCCAAGCTGTCAGCACAGAGCCAGATGCAGGGCTTGAACTCGTGAACTGTGAGATCATGACCTGAGCTGAAGTCGGATGCTTAACCAACTGAGCCACCCAGGCGCCCCTCAAGAAAGTGTTTTTTAAGTTATATACTCACAGTGGTAATTAGGCAGTTCTCAAAGAATTACAATAAATCACCATGTTTTAATGCAACCATAAAGAAACTGATATGGTTCTTCATTTGTATATGGCTTTAATTTTATATTCTCCTTACAAAAAAATTCTAAGAAAGTAAGTTACAAAGCTCTCTGTGTGGTCAAAAGAACAAAATAAGGGAAGTGACAATCTAATATGAAGGAAGGTAATCCATAGAAAAGAAAAATAGATGTAAATATTTATACTGAAATCTAGTACCGTAACAGAAATCCCATTAACACAATACCGATTTACTCATAAAATCATTATCACGATTTCAAAGTAGGGATTTTTGGTTTTGTTGGGGTTTTTTGCTTTTAATTAAAATACTGGACAATCTTTAACTGGTTGGCTCAAAGTCCATTTTTTTACCCCCAAATATTCTAATTTGGGAAGTTTTAACATTTACATGTTTCTCCTTTTTTTAACATTTATTTTGAGAGAGCAAGTGAGAGAGTGAGTGGGGGAAGGGCAGAGAGAGAGGGACAGAGAGAATATCACACTCTGGGCTGTCAGTACAGAGCCTGATGCGGGGCTTGATCTCACAAAGTGTGAGATCATGTCCTGAATCAAAATCGAGAGTCAGGTGTATAACCAACTGAGCCACCCAGGTGCCCCAAAACGACCTCTTTTGATTTTTTAAAAAACGTTTATTTATTTTGAGAGACAGCACATGCAGAGGGGCAGAGAGAGAGAGAGAGAGAGAGAGAGAGAGAGAGAAAGAATTTCAAGCAGGCTCCATGCTGTCAGCCTAGAGCCCAACTTGGGGATCGATCCTACCCAACCGTGAGATCATGACCTGAGCGGAAAGCAAGAGTTGGACACTTAACTGACTGAGCCACGCAGGCGTCCCTGATTTTGGTTTTTTTAAAGAGGAATAAATGTTAAGAGATTGGACTGCTTGTAACTCCTCTGTACCTTCTGTTCTCACACTTGATATGTACTCAATGCATAGGAGTTAAGTTTTGTTGTTGATTTCACTAGCAAGGTTTAAATGCTCTCATCTCGGGGCGCCTGGGTGGCGCAGTCGGTTAAGCGTCCGACTTCAGCCAGGTCATGATATCGCAGTCCGTGAGTTCGAGCCCCGCGTCGGGCTCTAGGCTGATGGCTCAGAGCCTGGAGCCTGTTTCCGATTCTATGTCTCCCTCTCTCTCTGCCCCTCCCCCGTTCATGCTCTGTCTCTCTCTGTCCCAAAAATAAACGTTGAAAAAAAAAAAATTAAAAATAAATAAATAAATAAATGCTCTCATCTCATGTAATACCTATATTTCTTTGACTAAAAGCAGGTCCATGTGTTTCATTTCTTTAGGCAGTTAAGTATTTGTAAAATAGTTTTATTTTTTCTGTATGTATTTTACATTCTTACGTGGAGGCACTGTGCTCTGGTAATCAAGGTAAAGAACCTCAGTCACCCTTAATTTCAAACTCCCCTTTTTGCATTGGCTGCTTGCTACTTTGTATGTATCTCCTCTGGAAATGAAAAGTGACAGATCTGTCCTTTTTAAAATTATTCTTGGGGCGCCTGGGTGGCGCAGTCGGTTAAGCGTCCGACTTCAGCCAGGTCATGATCTCGCGGTCCGTGAGTTCGAGCCCCGCGTCAGGCTCTGGGCTGATGGCTCAGAGCCTGGAGCCTGTTTCCGATTCTGTGTCTCCCTCTCTCTCTGCCCCTCCCCCGTTCATGCTCTGTCTCTCTCTATCCCAAAAATAAATAAACGTTGAAAAAAAATTTTTTTTTAATAAAATTATTCTTAAAACATTTTTTTTTCTTTAATCCAGTTGACAGAATCTGGGAAGAATGCAAAGTATGAATAAACCCTTTCCTTACTGGTGTTGCCAAACAGCACAATTCGTATTCTATTAATCACCACCTTTAGGACCAACAGCAAGTCTTTCAAGTCTCTGAGAGCACAGCGGACTTTGGTAGTGCTGTTCCTCTCTGCCTTTCCTAAACAAAACTGAAGGACTATTTTCAGGGGTCACTAAATAAAAGTGGCTGCCGATTTTCCTTAGAAGCAAATGCAACATGCTACCTGTGGATGTGCTAGAGGGGATACGGCCACATTATCACCCTTGGGACTTTGGTAACAAAGCAGCTTTTGTAATTAGAAGAACACAAGGTCCTTGAGAGAGATAAATGATTTGCATCTGGAGAGGTAGCACGTTGAATATCCAAAAGTGGCCATCTATAGGCCTAGATACAACTGCAATTTGAGTAAAGAATTTGTAACGGGAAGTGCCTGCTAAATAACAAATGACCAGAAAATGAGATGAGGTCAAGTTTTTTGAAAGGTTAGACAATGTTAAGCATGTTACAAATGAACAGTATCCAGGGGCACCTGGGTGGCTTAGTCAGTTAAGCATTTGACTCTTGATTTCAGCTCAGGTCATGATCTCATGGTTTTGTGAGATGGAGCCACACGTCAGGCTTTGTGTCCTTCCCCTGCTTGCCATGTGCGTGCTCTCTCTCTCTCAAAATTAATAAACTTAAAAAAAAAAAATGAACAGTATCCATTCACAATCATCAAAAGAGGGTGTTACAACAATAACTATTAAATGCAATGGGAACCTTCATTATATCCTGATCGTGTGTGTGTGTGTGTGTGTGTGTGTGTGTGTGTGCGCGCGCGCGCGCACTGGTACAGGGAGAGGAGAGAGCACAGCTATGAAAGATAGTTTTGGAACAACTGGGGAAATCTGCATCTAGATTATGGATGCTGTTGGTGTTTCACCCAGTGACACATCAGCTAACCTGTGCATCCATCCTAGTCTGGGTTGGCTGTTAGTGGCTTACGACATCCCCTTCTCAGTTTCAGCCTGATCCTACAGGAAGCACTGGAGTGTGAATCACATCTCACTCCCATCTTGAGGCAGGAGGGCTCAGCTCCTATGTCAGTCATTGGCTATGGGCTACAGAGAAGAGCAAGGTGGACTGGGACAATTCTCTGAAATATTTAGAGAGTAAAGCTCCATAATATGTGCAACTAAACAGTACAATTAAAACACAAATACACACACACACACATACACCCAAATATAGGCAAAGCAACACTGCAAAATGAAATAAATGTCAGGTCTAGGTAGATGCCTTAAGACTGTTTCTTGTAGGGCACCTGAGTGGCTCAGTCGGTTTAGTGTCTGACTTTGGCTCAGGTCATGATCTCGTAGTTCGTGAGTTCAAGCCCCATGTCGGGGTCTGTGCTCACGGCTCAGAGCCTGGAGCCTGCTTTGGATTCTGTGTCTCCCTCTCTCTCTCTCTCTCTCAAAAATGAATAAACATTAAAAAAAAAAAGAAGAATGTTCCTTGTATTATTATTTCAATTTTCCTGAAAGTTTGAAATTTTTATAATGAAAATTTGAAGGGGAAAAAACTTGTTCTTTCTTCTGTGGGTTGTCATCCTGATACTGACTTCTGACTTCTATATCTGACCAGCAGTCAAAAGAAAACCTGCCAGTCATCCTGAATGCATCCTTGTTTTCTACCCACGGTTGGTCACTAGATCATGTCAATTCCGCTCCCAAAATAGATTCATCATTCTAAACTGCAATTATAATCATATTTCTCCCCCCCAATTCTTTGTTTCTTCACTGTCCACACTAAGATAAACATCTAACTCTTTGACACGGCACATAACATCATTGTCACATGGCCCTTGGCTTACCTCTTCAGCTACATCTCCCACCATTTACACCTACAATTTTGTGCATCATCATCCTAAACAACTTATGAGTTCCTTGAACATACCATGATCCTCCCTATCTTTTGAATCTAGGCATATTATGCTGGCAAATTCCTTTTTTGTTTTTTAAAATAATCTTCTCTGTCATTGTTTTTTTTTAAAAGTAATCTCTATGCCCAATGGGGCTTTAACACATGATCCCCAGATCAAGAGTCACATGCTCTATAGACAGAGCCCGCCAGGCGCCCCTATGCTGGCAAATTCCTACTCATACTTTAAGAATAGTTCAAATTTGACCTCCTCTAAGCAGGCTTTCCTGAACTCTCCAGGCAGAGTTAAGTGGTCCCTTTTTAGTATTCCTATAGCAACTTCTTGCATACCTCTCTTATAACATTTATCACAGTTATTAATAATTGATTACATGTCTTTTTTTTCGCTAGTAGAAAGTAGACCCAGGAAGGCAGGGACTGGATTGTTCATATTTGTATCCCTAGCATTCTGCATAATACCTGCCATTGTACATAATATATGTCTAATGAATAGCCAATGGGTTTTTTTTAGTATTATATACTTACTACAGCTGGTGAGGGGACATGGATGCTTGGGACAGATCGAGGCCGCACATGATTGGCCAAATGGCAAAGAACAACACCATCGGTTAGAGCTGCTCCCAGATCACAAGGCAGTGATACTTTCAACCGGTACTCAATATGCTAGAAGAACAGGAAAATGTGTAATACGTTAACTGATGTGGCTGACACAGGACATAATGGAGTTACAATGAAATACTATAATTAAGAATCAAGATAGAAAGCAAATAAGTACCACAATCCCTATTTTATTTATTTATTTATTTTGTTTTTGAGAGCAGGGGAGGGGCAGACGACGGAGAGGAAGAGAGAGAATCTTAAGCAGGGCTTGATCTCAAGACTGTGAGGTCACGACCTGAGCTAAAAATCAAGTCATGTGCTTAACTGATTTAAGCCACCCAGGCAACCCAAGTACCACAATCCCCATTTTATTCTTCCATCCTAAGTCAGTAACTCAAGGAGATCTAATACATACATATGGTGGCCAGGCCACAGTGGTGCAAAATATTACATGAGAAATTCATTTACAATTTTATGCTTAGGAATAAAACAGAACTAGATTCTGTCAATTCCAAAATAAAACACTATATGTAAGTGTGATATATATATATGTGTACATACATATAAATTATTGCTACTCTTACAAGATTTCTGTACATGAGGCAGAAAAAACTTTTAAATGAGCAGGGCTAGGGATTGAGCTTTATAGAATAACCCATCTCATTTTCCTAGCAAACAGATGAAAAGAATGCCCTTAATAGCAGAATCTCTTTTACATCTACCACACGGTGGGCACTTGTTGATTCTATTAAAAATTTTAAGTCAAATGAACAAGTGATTGCAGGGTTATGCGCTCTAGCTGTAACAATGTGAAAGTATAATTCAGAGGTAGTGTACACACTTTCCGTAGTTGATCCATTAATTCCAGCTCTTCTTCTCTGTGTCTTGAATTGGGTCTTGTTATGGGATCTGCAGAGTCAGTGGGAGGTGCAGAAGATGAAAGAAGGGGTGAAGCATGACCTAAAAAAATATGAATATGTAAGACAGAAAGGCGACTGCTAGTGCTGGAAAAATTCTCAGCTCCACCTGATCACAGGCTCCTTACAAGTGCAGCACTTTTGACTTCTGCATGGACTCTTTAAAAAAAGTTTTTATTATGAAAAGTTTCAAATATACACAATAATAGGGAGAACGGTGTTAAAAACTACCAAATGTCCATTACCCACTTAGCTCAACTCGTTTTGATTAAAAATGTTTCCATTGAAAAATAACACACATACAGAAAATTATGCAAATCATAAACAACTCAATAAATTATCACAAAGTAGACACAATCAGGTCAATAAATGCAATTATTACCAATACCCAGAAGGCCCTCTCATGACACCTACCCATCAGTACCTAATGGTTACTTCCAACAACACAGGTCCTAGCTATGGACTTCTTGATTTGTAATACCATAGATTAGTTTTGTCTAGTTTTGAACTTTCTATAAATGAAACCAAATATATGTATGTATGCATGCTTTTGTCTTCTTTTGATCGACACTATAAGATTTATCCATATTGTATGTATTAATTGGTTCATTTTTATTGCTTATACTGTATCCCATTGTACAAACACACCACAATTATTTACCCATTGTATCAGTCATGAACACTCTGTTTGGGCTATCATGAATAAATAATGTTGCTATAAATATTTTTGTAAATATCTTGGGGTATATATGCTTACACATTTCGGAAAGCAAACTGCTGGTGATAGGACATACAAGTGTTCAGTATTATTAGATAATGGAAACAGTTTTCCATACTAGTTTACAATCCTATATGCAGTGTGTCTCTGGTTTGATTTTAAATCTGTGAGGCCATCTATCAGTTACACTCAAAGTTGTTATTTTTTATTTGAAATGTTTGTTTCTACTTCCAGGTAACTTCTTTGGAGGCCAGGCAGATGTATATTAACTAAAAAACTAAAAAGTAGATTTAAAAAAAAAAGAATTACTGATTCATTTCTTTAAGAACACATAAAATAGCTTTTATCAATAGAAAAATCTGAAAAAGGCTCATTACAGAGAGAAGGAACATTCCCTAAAGCCTGAAAGAGTGTTTTATTTGTTCCAACCTATAACCTCCTTTGGGTAGTGCTAAGAAACTCTAGTTAAATTGAAACAAGATTCTCCTTTTTTTTTTTTTTTTAATGTTTATTTTTGAGAGAGAGAGAGAGAGAGAGAGAGAGATTGAGAGAGAAACAGAGAGCAAGCAGGGGGAGGGCAGAGAAAGAGGGAGACACAGAATCTGAAGCAGGCTCCAGGCTCTGAGCTGTCAGCACAGAGCCCGATGCGGGGCTCAAACTCATGAACCGTGACATACATCATGATGTGAGCCAGAGTTGGACGCTTAACTGACTGAGCCACCCAGGCACCCCAAAGATTCTCCTGCTTTAATGTTAGTGAGATCAAAGTTTAAAGCTTTTGCCAAAGTGACATCTCAGGGTAGAAGTTTAAAAGCATACAGCAAGCATAGGGGTGCCTGGTTGGCTCAGTTGGTTAAGCGTCCAACTTCAGTTCAGGTCATGATCTCACGGTTCATGGGTTCAAGCTCTGCATCAGGCTCAATGCCGACAGCTCAGAGCCTGGAGCCTGCTTTGGATTGTGTCTCCCTCTCTCTGCCCCTCCTCCGCTGCTCATGATTTGTCTCTCTCTCTCTCTCTCTCAAAAGTAAATAAACATTGAAAAAATAATAATAAAATAAAAGCATACAAGTTACTGTCATTATATAAAGCACCCACCCCCCCTTCTCAGTCACTGTGACCTACCTTTATTTGCTTCTGCCCTGACAGCTGCTCGGTAAAGGAAGCTTTCAGGGCGCTGGGCCTGGTTTCTCTGAATAGCAGCAGGAAAAGAATATGCAGGGGAATGATGAACTACATCAGCATGGAAAAGCAAAATAAGATTAAAGGAGATGGAAAAAAATTAAATATAACAACAGACACATGTCACAAGTTCAATAAATGATATAAAGATCAAATTAAACATGATAATGATATAAAGTGATAATTTTGTTTATTAATATAAAATCTAGTACAGAAAAGTAACCTTGAAATCAGGAAGGCTGTTTGTAGTTTTAATTGTCATGCTATTTTTGGTATGTTAATAAAGGCAGAATGAGTGTTAATACATTGAATAGATTCTCTTGCAAACCTATAACCCTGCTAGCTCATGTTCATTTGTTCATATCAAATGCTTGAAGAGGTGACCAACCAGTTGAATTAAAAAATGGAAAATGTGCAGGAAGTTCCCAATTGTGGGTCTGATTTCTCATCTCAGAAATGGAAGTCACAGCTCTCTGAGAGGTATTTATCAGGAAAATCCTAGTAAAGAATTACTCTTGATGTGGTTAATTATACCTTTGTGTCTATTATTACCTGTTTCTGTTGTAGGTGAACTTGATATGGTATTAGATCTGTCATTGTTCTGTAGAGAAATGGAGATATATCAATAATTATTACTCAAGAAGAGCTACTTTCCACATTTATGATTACTTTGGGATAAAAGAAAAAATCATGCAAGTCTCTTTTAAAATTAAGTCTAGAAATGAGAATTTGGAGTAAGGGTTGATTTTGTACATTATTTTTAAGGCCAAACTTTTTACTTACTTCTGTAACATGAAAAGTTTATATAATGTATTCTCTAAAGATAGTTCTATTATATAATAGGTCTTTCCTATGACTATGAAAAATGATCATCCTAAGGCAGAAAATTTTATTGGGAAATGTATAGGGGAGAATAATTTCATTTTATAATTTCATTTTCTGGTATAGTTTCTAAAGTATATTTCTCCACCTCTGGAGAGTAAAATTTAATGTATTAAAAAAAAATGATGAAGATTTCTTCATTTCTGTTAGGAAACAAAGTGTTTAAAGATAGATAGCTGTATTTCCAGACTAACATTTAAGTCCAAGATATTTTTACTTCATTGACCAAAGAGAACTTATATAAAAAGGGGGAAGAGCTAGCTTAACATGTATAAAGTTTATCTAAAAAAAGAGAAATGTAATTAAGCTCATTTAAAAAGAAGTGTTGGTTGGATGGGTTAAAGACACTGAAGACTTGGCAGGGGAGTAGAATCAAGAAAGGTTAGAGTAACAATATTCAAGGCCTCAACATCTAGGCCCAATAAATTAAACATATTATAACTTTATTTAATTTTTTAATGTCTATTTACTTTTGAGAGAGAGAACAGGGGAGGGGCAGAGAGAGAGGGAGACACAGAATCCAAAGCAGGCTCCAAGCTCTGAGCTGTCAGCACTGAGCCTGATATGGGGCTCAAACTCGTGAACTACGAGATCATGACCTGAGCCGCAATCAGACGCTTAACTGACTGAGCCACCCGCGCGGAGCCAGATGCGGGGCTCGAACTCACGGACCGCGAGATCGTGACCTGGCTGAAGTCGGACGCCTAACCGACTGCACCACCCAGGCGCCCCTAACCGAATGATTTTAAAACACAGAGGTACATACATCTGCTCCCATGCTTTTTTCTCCCTTTTGGTTTTAATATTTTCTAGTTGGGAGCTGGGCAGAAGAAATTAATTATGATAGGGAATTTGTTAACATTCATGCATATATACACACATACACAGAAGTCATGCTGTTGAGAAGATTCTTGGACTGATCTGGAAGACAATTTCGTGGTAACAGTTCCTTGATTTGATACCCTTTGGCTGAAAATTTATAAAGTAAGCCAAGCTGTTGAGTGAAGCAATGTATTACATCTTCATTAGTGAAAAAAGATATGTTCATCAAGTTTATAGATGCAAATATGCTAAGTTTAGGATGTTGAAAAGAAATGAAAATTTAAATAACAAATTTAAAATAAGAGCAACAAAAAAAAGATATAATAAGAGCGGCAAGAACTAATAAAAAGAACGAACAAGAAAATGAGGCGAAAATGGTATCTTTGCAAGGAAACAAAAAAGAATATCCTTATTTTCAAGAAATATGAGACAGAAAGGAGAAAACTAGTTAGCCCAACAGAGACCTAGTCAAGGGTCAATGGTACAAACAGGAAAACATAAACAGTAGAGATTATTCCAGACATAGAGGGAAAATATACATTTTTTTAATTTAAAAAGACTAATAGGAGTTAGGCTAGAAATTTAATATTGCAAAAAAGAATTAAGCTAACAGACAACTCTATTAGACGAGAAGGAAGAAGTGAAGCAAACTGCACTGAATGGCAACAAATTTCTCCACCTCTAGAAACATCAAAAAGGTACACAGCTTTACACAGCTGTGTGTAAAGAAAAACAAAACCAGAATAGAGGCAACTTGTAAAATGGTGATTTTTAAAATGTACTTTTATTGAAACTAGAAATCTAAGTGACTTGCATTCTAGGGTATGAAGATTATTAGTTCAAATTACTCAGAGGCCACTGACTCTATTTGAGAACTCTTGCAGAACTGGAGCAAAAAAACAAATTGACAGGAACTCAACTTTTTTTTGCCCGGTTAAGCAACAAAAGAAGTAAACCCATGGCTAAATATATATAAATATATATCAGCTGTATAGTAACAAGGATGCCAAAAAATAAGGGTAAGTCTTTTTAAACTAATCATTTATACTACAGCAGGTCTGACAGAAAGTTAAACTTACCATACAAGGGTTGGCATGTTCAGATTTGGCCTTTTCAACTATGATTCTGGGAGAGAATAAGCCCTGATGCCCTAAGGTATCCACTGAGTGTAATGAATTAACTTCTCTCCTATATATCTCCTATAATAGTAATATACCTTCCTTGAGAGAAGTTTGAGAACAATCCCTCAATTTTCTGGGTTGTCATTCAAATGAGGAACCTAGCTGAGAAAGGCTAGCAAAGAGTTAACAGAGATGAGAACTATAAAGGTTTTTCAAAAGTCATCCAGGTAAGTGTAGCATCTTCAATACCGACTAAAGAGAAGGTTTATCAGGCTTACAGATGATACAACGTTGGGGCCAGCACTTAGAAGAACATGATGCAAGAATTTCAAAGTATTGTGGTAAATCAGAGAATTAAAAATGTTCAAAGATACAAGATATGGAAATTAATTATCATTTAGGAGTATAACTGAAACATTTGAGAATTACAGTGGCTACTGACCAAAATGGATACTGAAATGAGAAAAGCCAACCCAACACTTAGAATAAGATGTGAAAAACCTTGTTTCATGCTCAGCGCCAGGTAGGCTCTAATAAGGGCTATATTTCTACTTGGGGGCTGTGGAGCCAAAATGGAAGGCAGAGAACTTGAGAAAGCTCAAAAGGATTAACAGACTGGGAAAGGCACATAAAACAACCAGAGTTTATTTAGGAAGAAGACAAGGGCAGCATCATAATAGTTTTCAAATATAAAGATTCTTTTTTAAAGACTGCTTCGTAACTAGAAAATCTCTACTCTGGAAAGAAGAGAAGTAAGTGTAAGCCACAGGGTGTGGATCTAAGTCAGACAAGGGGAGAACCTTCTAACAGGGAAGATTATTAATAATTTCTTATATATCATATGATTAACAAATATGGAATCACCCATTCCTAGAGGCCTTCAAAAAATAAAATACCACAGGGTTGCAGGCCATATTCCAACTCTGTTATTAAGCTCAAAAGCAGCCACAGACAGTATATGAACAAATGGTAGTGGCTGTGTGCCAATAAATCTATTTCCAAAAAATGTGGCCTACAGGCCATAGCTTGTTGACCTCTACTAGAAGAAGGTTTTAGCAGTGACACTTCTGGGGACTGGGACTGAAATTATTTTAAATGCACATTAGAAAACAGAGTTAACTTTATATTATTTATCAGCCAAAGTAAAATAACTCATGACAAAAAAAATAACCTTTGGTAGGAAAATCAGAACAGCATATCAAACAGAATTTCAATATAAAGAATTAACGCAGACTCTGTATTTCTAGTATGGTAAATCTTCCAAAAATTTCAAGTAAAATTAATGTTAAATTCAAATAGTTTTATAAGCTTATGTATATTTCATGTAATCCTAGATTTCACACTGCTGTTGGACCAATCTATTGGAAAATTTCAAGTTCCTGGTGTATTACGGTAACAAGAGATACCTTAAGAAGCATGAAGGCAGAAGAATGAGGCAGGGTAGCAGCAGAGCCCACTTGATTCAACCCTGACAGCGACTAAATTTTAAAAGAGAAAGGGAAGAAACAAACAAAAGGCAGCATTTATGTTAGCAAAATGTCAGTCAGGCAGGCAGATCCGGTCAATGAAATTAGAAAAGGAAAGGTCATGGACAAACTTTCAAATGGTTTACTAAAATACTGATAGGGCAGAAGGAATACTAGGGGGAAAAAAACGCCTAACTTAATAAAACGGTTTTCCCATCTGTATAATTCAAACCATCTCAATACTTCATACCACATTAACCAAGAGATGAAAGGGCTTTTGGCTTTCGGCTTGGAGGAGGCCAAGGTGCAACTGTCTTTGGTCATCTCAAATCCAGGTTCATCCAACACCAGCTGCCTCCATTATGCTGCCTAAATTTGACCCCAGCGACATCAAAGCCATACACCTGAGGTGCACTGGTGGGGACGTCAGTGCCACATTTGCCCTGGCCCCCAAGATCAGCCCCCTGGGTTTGTCTCCAAAAAGGTTGGTGATGACATTGCCAAGGCAACTGGTGATTGGAAGGGTCTCAGGATTACAGTGAAACTGACCATTCATTCAGAACAGACAGGCTCATACTGAAGTGGTGCCTTCTGCCTCTGCCCTGATTACCAAAGCTCTCAAGGAACCACCAAGAGACACAAAGCAGAACAACGTTAAGCACAGTGGAACCATCATTTTCTATGAGATTGTCAACGCTGCCTGACGGATGTGGCACTGATCTTTAGCTCGAGAACTCTCTGGAACCATAAAGAGATCCTGGGGACTGCTCAATCTGTGGGCTGCAATGTTGATGGCCACCACCCTCATGACATCATCAACAGTGGAACAGTGGAATGTTCAGCTAGTTAAGAACTACAAAGGAAAATATTTTGATAAATGATAGTTTGACAACCAAAAACAGGGAAGGCATGATTTATTAAAAGTGGTTTTAAATAGAACTAAAACTAAGAACATCAAAATTGTTGAGCAAAATTGCCTTAGAAACTACCAAGACTTGTGCTATTCCTCTTATGGGGAAACAAATCCAGTCAAAGAGCTCATTTTAACTGAGCAGAACTGGCATGAGTAAAGACACTATTTTTTCAACAATGATCCAAATTAGAGTTATTATAATTCCATATACCAGCTCTGATGTGAAAAAACAGAGGAATGAGGATTCTGTGTCATGCCTTGCAGATGAGCCAGCATTTCATTTCTGCCTCTATGTCCAAATGACCTACATGAGTGTAAGAGGAATTTTCCTTTTCTTTGAATCCTTTATCCTTTCACCAACCTACATACAACTAGAAATATTAGATGTATCTGTCAAGTATATTAAAGGTATAATTAGAGACAGTAAGTGTTAGAATCTATTGTACAGAATTATGATTACAGATAAAACCCAAAACATGACAATTCTTTAATTTGGTAAAGAGTGGAAATCAGAGAAGACAGGACTTTCATCACAAAGGGCACTGGATAAGACTGGACCTATTACAACAACAAAATGCCAGTCAGTCTTAAATATATTGAAATCTTTATGCGTTAAATAACTTTTAAAAATTTAAACTAGGATCACAAATATGTGAATCATGGAACAAATGACCTTATTAAGCACATGTGGGTGTTTAGAAAAACGTGTGTAGATGATCAATAAAATGAATACAACAATTTTTAATGACAGTTGATAGATAGCAATGTTTCTTTTTGGGGAGGGTGGGCAAAAAAATTTTTTTAAAGTAACATTGTAACCTAATCTATCAAAGGAAATATACCAAAGAACAAGATTGTGACAACAGTCATATCGTCACCTCTTCAGTTTTCCTGGGCCTCCTTATAACCAAATGTACAGAAATTACTGTCAATCTCAAACATAAAAAGGCTAAAAGCAACTATTTTGGCAAAGGAGGACAAAAAAAGTGGAAAAGAAGAGGATGCGAAACGAGCCTAGATACTCTCTAGTTTCTAGAGATACAGATGCGGATTGGATGTAGATGAAAACAACAGAAGCCTGGAGGGCAGCCCTAAGAGAATGTTAGTGTCATGGATATTAAACATCACTAATACTTATTTCAGAGCTTGTATTTCAAGGTCTTTAAATGAAATCCAACATTTACACCTTGCTATACATCATCAGACCTTTTCATCATGAAACAATTTAATGAGCATTTTCAGATGCATAGCATTTATGTGTTCATTCAGGAAATATTTATTGAGCACTTAATATATCCCAGGAACGATGACAGGAACTGAGTATACATAGGTAAATGCAACAGAGATTATCCCTGTGCCCATGAAGTTTAGAGTCTGGTAGTCTAATAGGGAAGAGACCTAAAACAATAAACATCCACCTAAATGAACTATGAAGAGAAAAAATAACAGTGGAGACAAATTTGATTTGGGGGGTGTAGGCTACAGAAGAGTCATTTTTAAAGATCTAACATTTAGGCAGATACTTGATAGATGAGTAGAAATTAACCAAGGAGTATATACAGGGAGGGAGAGGCATTCCGTGCTGAGGGAAATAGCATGTGCAAAAGGTTGTGAGGTAGAAACAGGCTTGCTGTATTTGAAAAGCTGAAAAAATGCTGGTGCAGAATGAGCCCTGAGCCCAGAGATGAGAGAGAGTATGCAGGGGCTTGCAGGCTGTGTTAAGAAGGACTTTATTCTACCATATGAAGCTACTGAAGAGAAGTCTTGAGAAAAGCAGAGGTATGATTTAAAAATACAACTCTTTCTGCAAAGTGTTGGATACTATTTGGCATACAAAAATATGTGAGACACTGTCCTTTTAAAGGCCATCTCATTTAGGTCAAACGTGAATATTGATAAGTAAAATACAAGGGTATGTGTTTTGAAAATGGCTGAAAGACATTTCAAATTTCACACCAACGGGATCTGTTTTTCCAAATTCTACTTTTTCCTTGACAAAGAAGTGTGGCCACTCAGACTTATGTCACTTCCTATACATTATTAAATCTCATCTTCAGTCTCCTAAATTGCTTTCCATTATAGTGTGAGAGGCAATACACCATGGTGCTTAATAAATAGTAGGTTCTCAAGTCAGCCAGATCTGGATTTGAACCCAATCTTGCACTTACTAGCTATGTGACCTCGGACAAATCTCATTCTGGACAAAATATCTGTGCCTCGGTAATCATTTGTAAGATGGTGATCAGTTTAACCTTAACTTTTAAGATCGCTGTGAGGAATAAATGAGATAATTCTGGTAAAGTGTCTGGATCATCACAGGCTCTCAGTATTTTTTTCCATTAATTTAGATCATTTGCTTCTCATATCAATTAATTTCCACAAAAACTCCAGAAGGTGGTGGTTTTATTTACCTGTAAGACTGCCCAGTTAAAATGTGCTTTATCCATCTCAAAGGAAATGATAACTGCAGAACATACAGAAATTTTGACAATGGACGTTTAGGTAAGAAGGACCTCCTGCTGAAGTATGCACTTCACGCAGGAGTATGTACAAGGGCGGCAGTTACCAGCACATGAGACAGGAATTGCTACACACAGACTTTTGAACTGCTAGTTTTCAATACTACTATAAAAAATATCATAAAACATGATGGGGAAAGCAATTATGTGAATGTTAGAATTCTCTTGCAAGGCTGACAAAAGTAAGATTTTTCAATACTGCTCTTATGTTATACTCATTTTCTGCTGAAGAAACAGGCAATAAAAGTAAACTGGTGTTAAAAAACAATCAGTAGATAACATTCCGAGTTAATGTTTCCCAAAGTTTAAAAAATGGGCATAGAGGGATAATCTTGAGACATAAGTATTTTTGAAAAGTTTGGGATTTTCAGTAGCTTAATATAGACAATAAAATAGGATGGCAAATAAACAGTTGTGTAATTAGTGTCATGCAGGAAGGAAATCCATTTAACACACAGGTGACTCATGAGCCAAATTAATGATTAATAAAGTAAGTGCACCTAGAATTAGAAATGACGTCTAAAAAAGTAATGTGTCCTCTCCTCCCAACCCACATCCAAAGCCAATATGGTTTGCAGTGTGAATGTTTTACTTTTGGAAACACTAACAAAGGTATTTGAATCATAGCTGCAGAACACTGGAACGCTGGTAAGTCATGAACAGTAAAGCAGGGAAACAGTTCTAGCTATTTATAAAGTATTTAGTAATGACACTCATCATGTTTTATGGTACGTAGATAATTTCTGAATGAAAAGTGTAATTACTATTCTCCAAACTCTAGATATAACAATATATAACTCTGTTTTGTGCAAGGCTCTTACCACTAACAAGGCACTATCATCAGTGTGCTGAGACCTTCTGGATGGGAAGGGACACTGGAGAGGCAGAGAGAAAGGAAGCAATGTCAAAAACAAACGATGCACACACGTGACATATTTCACAAATAACACAAGCAAAGAGGTATATTAAGACATAATGAAGATGCTAACATATAGGATTGCATTCACAATCATTTTGAATTCACGTATCATAAAAGCTAATAAATTGATTCTGAGTAATGATTTTCTTCCAAACAGCTTAATTCCAAATATGATCTGATTGCTTAAAAACTGACTAAAGCAAGGAGGGAACAGGGATTATTCTCTATTCACAGAAGAGAAAGCTGAAGTATAGGCATAGCAGTAACAAAGAATTTGTGGTCATTTAATGAGTTAGTCACAAATTAAAACAATAAACCCAAGAGTCATGATTTCTAGCCTATGCATCTCTTCATTACCTTTCTCAGACAAGAGGACAACTAGAAATTTAAAAATTGTACACCATATTTTCCTGAGAAGCTTTAAGTTTTAAATAATGAATTTCTCCAGAATGATCATTAAGAAGGAAATTTGGGGGTAAGAAAAGAAGAGGTTATTAACTTATCAAACTTTGTCAAAGGTTTGTTCCTTTATTATTACCATGTGAACAAAAGATGACTGAAAAGGCTGAGTGAATCTTTCAGGTATAAGAACAAGGCCTAAATTCTGAGATAAACAAGAAGCAGTAATCGTATGTCTAGTCAATAAGGAAAAAAAAACTTTATAATGGATCATTTAAAACATTTCAAACAATGCATTTTACATTCCAGAATCACTTGTGCTTTAAAAACTCTATGGTGAAACTTAATGCTTGTCAAACCCTGTGTGTTAGGTTTTCACGTAATTTATTTTACAGAAAACAGATTCAAAATTCACATGAAACAATGCCTTTAAGCATTTTTAAGGAAGCGGTGATCATAAACTGAAAACATGAGAAGGCAAAATATAAAGAAAAATGGCTTTAAAAACCGACTACAATACAAATACTTATTTAATAAGTTTCATTTTAACAGATCAAAATAGGTATATTTTAAAAAAGGTTAAGCAATTAATTTTACATGTTACCTTGTAATGAAAATGTACTATTTAATATTATAAAACTACTGTGTACACCGTGTAATCAATAACACACACACTCAGGAATATGAGCCCTGGAGCTGAGATATATGTGGTATCTTTTTGTTCAATACCAACACCATGTACCAGTGCCAGATAGAGCTCCCAGGATGACTTCTCACTACACAGTATGGTTTGAAAATGGATGAAGGAGAAGATACCTCTGGTGGGGATGGAAGAAAGAAAGAAATAACCTCCAGATGGATTCGTATAGACTAAAAAATCCTTGATCTATAAACTTGGATAAACTCCCTGGCCCGTGTCTTCTTCTCCTGAGTAAGTAGAATTTTGTGAGGAGAAAAGGAAAATGGCAATATTTTGATCACTGAAAACACATGATAATCACATGCAAACATTTCATTTCCATTGTAATAAAAAATTCCAAAGGAAAGGTGGTTATATAGACTTACCTCACCATCTAAGGGGGATTGTTGTTTTTGTGGACTTTGTGATGCTTTGTGCTATATATCCCCAAGACCCCCCAAAAGAGGGAAGTTGGTTAGAATCTGAAACACTGGAAATGATAAATTCTATTTACCAAAATAATCACCCACATTAATTTCTGTCTCTCTTGTGTGCAGCACTTTGCCAGATTTACTGGTCGGAAGATGTCACCCTTTCCCTTAAACAGTTTACAATTTAAACAAGGAAGATCAATAAACTAACAGACAGTATTTCATATGTCTATAAGCATCTACAAAAATATAAAAAGCATGTTTTTTATATGTACATGCAAACAAACATAGTCCCAATCAGAATAGTGATCTCTCACTATATTCTCTCAATGAACTCATGCTCTCTTTCTCTAGTGCTAACACCTTTAGCTTTCTCTCATCGGCCAATTTTCAGGTTTGCGTTTTCAACTGCCTGTGGAAACTCTCTATTTGGAAACCCATGGTCACCTCATGTTCAACATGTTCAAAAACAAACTCATAAATTCCCAGATTAACTGGCTCTTTTCCCCAATTTGCTAATTTCTATTACTATGTCAAATAATAATTATACCACCTGTATAGTCAGTGTTTTACAATGTATTCTTATATACATTATCTCAAGTGATTCTTTTTACTCTCTAAGATACACAAACATCATAATCATATTCTTTTTAAAAATTTTTAAATGTTTATTTATTTTTGGGACAGAGAGAGAGAGCAGGAGAGGGACAGAGAGAGAGAGGTGGAGACACAGAATCGGAAGCAGGCTCCAGGCTCTGAGCTGTGAACAGAGCCCATTGTGAGGCTTGAACTCATAAACTGTGAGATCATGACCTGAGCTGAAGTCGGACGCTCAACTGACTGAGCCACCCAGGCACCCCCATAATCATATTCATTTAAGGACAAAAGAACTGGGGACAAAAGAAGTTATATGACATGTGCAAAGTCCATAAATTTGTAAGTAGCATAAATGAGATTTGCCCCTACATCTTCTGACTCCAAATCCTACATTCTTTCCACAAAACTAGACTCCTTTTCAAACTCTTCTTTTAGCCTCAAAATCTTGCTTTGGGATCTCCTTTATTTTCCTACTCTTCTTCAATGATTTATTCAACATTCACTACATCTATGTATAAAACATAATAATGCCTCTCTTAAAATCTCTAATTTATAAAATCCATTGTGGTGGTAGGGGGCACAGCACTCAGCACACTAGTAGAAGTACTAGGTGCACCTATAAGAATTCTGAAATAGTTAATATTTAATAGTTAAATACTACACCTATGAGGAAACTAAAGGCACAGTATGATTCAGTAACTTTCCCAAAGCCAAGCACATAATGAGTAGCAAAGCTGGATTCAAATTCATATTTCTGATTCTTTTTTTAAGTTTATTTACTTATTTTTTTAGATTTTTTTAGGTTTATTTATTTTGAGAGAGAGAGAGAGAGAGCGCGAGCGAGCACAGCAGGCAAGGGGCAGAGAGGAGGAGAGACAGAATCCCAAGCAAGCTCCACACCATCAGTGTAGAACCCAATGTGGGGCTCAAACTCATGAACTGTGAGATCATGACCTGAGCCAAAATCCAAGAGCTGGATGCTTAACTGACTGAACCATCCAGGCCGCCCCTATTTACTTATTTTTGAGAGAGAGAGAGACAGAGAGAGAGAGAGAGAGCGAGCAAGCAGGGGAGAAGAAGGGGGAGGGAGAGAGGGAGAGAATCTCAAGCAGGCTCTGCACTGTCAGTGCACAGAACCTGACGTGGGGCTCAAACGCATGAACCGCTGAGAGCATGACCTGAGCTGAAATCAAGAGTCAGACGCTTAACCGACTGAGCCACCCAAGTGCCCTCAGAAATATCTGGGCTCTTACCATTGTGTAACACTGCCTCTCCTTAGGAACCTCAGAAATCTTCTGGTGTTATGCCTTCATTCTGCACCCTAGTCTGACTTGCAATTACTATTTCATTTTCCTCATCGCTTTCTAACAGATTCAAACACAAGCAGATTAGTTTTTAGGAAGTATCTTTCCTCTCATGTTTTTCTCCTGCTTAAGAACTTACAACTGTTCTCTTCTACCTAACAGATCAAGATCAAATTCTTATTTGACATTTAATCAAAACTGTCTACAATGTGATTATCTCTTACTAGCTATGTGATGTCTACAGAAGGCAAGTTAAATGATAAATGAGTTAATGTAGAATGCACAGAATAGTGCTTAGGATATAGTATGTGTCAGCCATCATTATTTACTGACAGTCAGTATAGCATTCTGATCACAGATGAGGGTTTGGAGCCAGCCTTCTTTTTTCTTTAAAGAAACTTTTCATTTTTGGTCAACCTTACTTCCATTTTCTGTTCAGCCTGTCTTGAGAACCCTTGCTCTGCCACTAACTAGGTGAGTATTTAACCTAGGCAAACTGTCATCCTCTCTGAGCTTTAGAGATCATCATCATGGGCTTGATACATTTGAAAAAAAGAGAATTTTATCATGTGTACGATACTTAAAGAAAATGGTCTTTGGCTAGTTGAAACACAAGAGAGAAAGCTTTTGGAGGCCAAGAATGATTCATTCATTCAATCAATCATTCCTTTAACAAATCTTTACTGAGCTTTACTATGGGCTGACACCTGCTAACATCTAGGGATGGAGCGGCAAATAAGACAGATACACTCCCGGTCTTCATGGTATTTACAGATAAATGGAAGAGACAGATATCGAACAAACAAAAATAGAAATCACTATTATGAAGAGAAAAATCCAAGGTGACTTCCAAACAAAAAGACTTTAAATGATACACGCGAAAAAAAAAAAAAAAAAAAAAAGAACCAGGTTTAGATGAACTGTAGAGGCTGCAAACTTTTAAAAAACAAAAAAAGAAAGAAAAAGTATTAACAGGGGTTGCTACCCAAGTAGGTGTGGAGAGAACAGAAAGGAAAGAATCAAAGATGATTCTAAAGTATTAAACCTGTGACTCTCACACAGTTTTGGTGCTCACCAGAGTGAGGAAGTCAGATGGGCTCAGATAACAATAGTTCACATCTGCATGGCACTTTAAGGTTTACATGGCACTGGCACTTTCGTGATCTTATCGATCTTTATTAACAGACTGAAGACATGGCAGGTGGAGAGTAAAGTGAGATGTCTAAAGATAGATTGCTAATTAAGAAGAAGAGACTACTGTCTCAAGTACAAGATGATCACTTCTCAGCCTACCCTACAGGAGGACAATTCATCTAATCACAAGCAGGAGACAGTTATGCTATATACTCAAGATTCCTTACAGTGAGAAAAAAGAATGTTGACACTTTAATTAAGACAAACACTGACAGCCTCAGCAAAACAAATAAGCACTTACTTCTAAAACTCTTTAGGAATTTCAATGAAATTTGACAAAATTTCACCTTGACAAAGTCCAGGACAGCATCTCTTTGAATTTGCTTGGTCCTTATTTTCTCTTCCTCATACTGTAGGGCCGCAAGCTGTGCCTCTCTCCGAGTACGCTCTACTAATTGTTCTCTTCTCCGAAGAATTTCCAAGTCTGCATGTGATAACTGGAACAAAAGTATTTTGCATGTGCAAGTGGGGCTAAAGGTTAACTTATCAATATTCTTAATCAATTTAGGGAACTACTACTTACTCAAGCAATTTCTACTTTGCAGTCACCTAACATTTCTTTAAATGTGTGTACTGCTGATCATCTCCCATCTTTTCACGCTGTGTTCTTATTTGCACTATAAAGCCATCATGTCAGTAAAGATTTATTTTCTGTCTAGGGTCTAAAAGCACCGTTAGCCAAGTATCAGGTTCACATGTTACATTAACTGTATTTTACAGGCGACAGGTAGTAAAGTTTACAGATGTCTGGCAATTAATGGTAATTTAAGCATTATAAAAATAGAAAATCATTTTAGTTTAAAAAAAATCAAAACTAAAACAGAAAAACAGCAACAACAACAACAAATTTACCTGACTGTGACTTGGTGACAGTGACATGAGAGAAGATGGCTCAGATGAAACCCTGACCCAAAAAAGAAAAAAAGGAAAGAGAAAATTCTTTGGTAAGGCAGGCAGTATATAAAAGACAAGTAAAATTTTATTGTTAATGTAGCTTTCTATTAATCAATAGGCAAACTGGTCAGCAATGAAAGACTGACTGCATTTTGTAAACCTGAGCCCAAGTCATTAAATTAAGCTACAGGAATACCTGATGTCGCCAACTCACATTTCATGTGATGATATCACTGATCAAGCTACAGAGAGTCAACAACAATCTATGTCAGCCAGTGCTGACCAGACATTTGAGATCACTTTTCAAATAGCATCATTTCTTAAGAGCATACATAACTATTATCTTTTTCATTACCATGGCTGCAACAAGATACATGTAAATAGAGATCGTTTTATATACAAAGTTATTTTATCAACCAAAATCTGGAATATGGCAGAACCTGGCCACTGTACCTGCGCTCCTCCTCCCATCTTCAACCGAGGTAGCAATTTTAATAACAAAAGTAAAGATTCTGTTGATTTTTATTTTTAAGAAAAAGACGAAACCTGATTTGTTGCTTAAAAAAAAAAAACAGTAAAAGTTGCTTCTCAGTTTTATCAGTGCTAAATCTTTTTTTCAAGGATTTTATTTATTTATTTATTTTTAAGTAATTTCTATACCCAAAGTGGGGCTCAAAACTCACAACCCTGAGATCAGGAATTGCATGTTCTACCAACTGAGCCAGCCGGGTGCCTCTACCAATGCTAAATCTTACAATTTGGTGTTTATCTTTTTTCCTGAATTGGATTTAGTGTTTCAAGTGTCTGCTACTCATTTGTGTCTCTGAACTAACAATGTTGGGAATAAGTCGCTTTTTGACATTTAGCACCGAAAAGTTTAAACTATGATTACTCGCCCGTCAGGTTGATTTTAATGCATTCGATCGGTGTGTTACAAGGCAAGATAAGAAAAAAAAAAAAGTCCCCCAAATCCCTCAAAGCTCTAGTAGTTTTATGATTCGTGTCATTTTTTTGTACAATATTTTTCAGATGCGAACATAGAAACGAACAATCCTTGAGCTCCTACCATGCCCTACATATGCCCTGTGAAGTACTTTATGCATAGTGTTTCTCAATTACTCCTCATGCAATCTTATGGAGTAAGAACTATTAGAATCTTCACTCTATATTTGGGAAGCTGAGAAATGGAAGTTAAGTAACTTTTCCAAGGTGATGCAGCCAGTAGTCCTTACTTATCTGATTTGAATTCTTATCTCTGACTTGATGGTAGTTTGCTCTCTCATCTTCTAGGTACGCAGCCTATGAGAACTGGAGAGGCCTGAGAAATCATGGAGTCCAAACCACTAACTTTACAAAGGAGAAATCTGAGGCCCTCAGAGGCTTAGTGATGGTTACTGTAGGCAGAGCCTGGATGAGAATTCAAGCCACCTGACTTGGAGATTAGTGGCTGATACTATACCACTCTACAGCGGCAGAATGTAGGAAGGAGAAAGTGAAGAGCACAGAGATCTAAAAGCAATATGGACACACATACAGAGAAAAAGGACCTGCAATGGCCAAAACTAAGCTGTGAAAGTTAAAGATGGTGGCAGAGCATGAAGCATGGCATATGAGAGAATAAAAGTGGTAGCGAAGAAGGCGTCTGAGAACTGACAGCTCCCTCAAGCCGATCACCAGGTGCTAATATGGGCCCCTCATGGCTTGGGTGCTCCTTGGCGCCACCACGCTGCTTCATTTGTACATCTGACCTTTTCATCTATGAGTATGTTTCTCAATAGCAGTGTCACAACATTTTGGATACATTTTCTGTTATACAAGATTGTCCTGTACGTTATAGGTAGTTTAGTCTTAATGCCAGTAACACCTTTGGCAACCAAGTCCCAACAAATAAACACATTTTTCAAATATCCACTACAACCTATTGAGAAACACTGGCTTACCCTAAACTTTCCTAAACTAAAAAATATAATATGTAAAAAAGCAAAATTTAAGTCACACTACTGCTCTCTTTCTTTCCACATTTCTTTTCTTATGTTGGTTCCAAATCTTTGAATAATTCACAAAATTCTTTTTTTTAATTTTAATGCATAAAAAAATGTTTTGAAAAAAATTGTTTTATATAACCTCAAGAGTCTGGCCATATTTCTTACTTTATTAAAATAATTAAAATACCCCCAAAAAAGTTTTGACAGAATAAATTATAATTAAAAAAATTTTTTTTAATGTTTATTTATTTATGAGAGAGAGAGAGAGAGACAGAGTGCGAGCAGGGGAGGAGCAGAGAGAGAAGGAGACACAGGATCTGAAGCAGGCTCCAGGTTCTGAGCTGTCAGCACAGAGCCCAACGTGGGTCTCCAACCTGTGAACCGCGAGATCATGACCTGAGTTGAAGTCTGACGCTTAACCAACTGGACCACCTAGGTGCCCCATAATTTTTTAAAGGTACAGAATAAATTACTCAATAACTCCCTTAGGCAAGGTTTAAAATAAAACTGAAGCTGGGCAAAAAACTTCCTTCAATTTTTACTAATCTTTCCCAACCTTTATCACTCCTAGTCAGTACATTCTTAGTCAAAAGTTTAGAGAAAAGTGGGCTGGTGGGGTAAGATTTAGCTGGGATATAACCAATAAAGAATGAGACACAAGTGAGTCTGGGAGTAGCAACATGGTATCGTAGTTAAAGGCATGGACTTTAGAGTTAGTTGTGACCGAGTTCGAATCCAGGGTTTGTCACTTGCTAGTGGATGGCTGTGAATATAAATGGAAAACTACTAGGTCTGAAAGCACAGGCTCAGGTAAGCGAAGAATTCCTCAGTACTGGCAGAGCAAAAATTTCTAAAAAGTAGTAAAAACAGGAACTCTGGGTTAAGGTTTAGTAGACAGATTTTTGGCTCCTATGATCTCCACTCCTGGTGTTACTCCAGTAAATATGTTACAAGTCAAAAAGGACTCTGCAAATGAAATTAAGGGTACTAACTGGTTGACCTTAAAATGGAAAGACTATCCAAGTGGGAGTAATGTAATCACAGGAACCCTTAAAAGCACAAGAGAGCAGGGCTGAGGGAGGAGCATTGGAGGGAGGTGGTCAAAGCTACAAACTGCCAGCTATAAGACAAATAAGTAATTAGATGTAACATACAACATAATGACTACAGTTAGCCCTGCTGCTGATACATACGACAGTTGTTAAGAGAGTAAACCCTAAGAGTTCTCATCACAAGGTGAAAACAAATTATTTTTTATTGTATCTATGAGATGATAGCTATTAACTAAACCTACTGTAATCATTTCACAATATATGTAAATCAAACCATCACTCTGTACAGCTTATATACAGTGACATATGTCAATTATTTCTCAATAAAACTGGAAAAAAAAAAAGAAGGCAGGAAAGTTTGTGGGATGTGACAAAAAGGGAAATCAAAGAGATTCAAAATGTGGTAAGAAATAGATTCAAAACAGCTTGCCAAAGCTGACTTGAAGATGGAGGGAGCTGTGGATCAAGGACCTTGGGTAGACTCCAGGAGCTAAAACTGAGTCCCAGTGATAGCCAGCAAAGCAACAGGGACCTCAGTCTTATAACTAGCTGCCAACAACCTGGATGAGCCTGCAAGTGGGTTCTCCCCCAGTGTTTCTAGGTAAGAATCTAGGCCACCCAGTACATTGGCTTTGGCTTGCCAGACCCTAAGTGGAGAATGAAGGCAAGCCTACCCAGACTGCTATTCCACAGAACTGAGTTACTACATTTTAAGCTGCTAAATTTGTGGTAATTTGTTGCATAAACATTAAAAAACTAATACATAATGAAACTGAGAAAAAAAAAAAAAGCTGGCTTTCACCTTGAGGGCTTCTACTAAATTCCAGAGATCTTGAGCCTTCTTTATGATAGATGCAGGAGGTAAGAAGGACAGGAGATGAAGTGTGGGCCTGATCAAATTGGAAAAACACAATAGGATACCCCCGTGTGAAACTGAAATCTCAAAAGACCACACCCTCAATATAAGGACACAAGGCAAATAAAAAGCCTTTCGGAGATAAATTTCAATTTCAAAGATTTGAAATTTAGGGGCACCTGCGTGGCTCAGTCAGTTAAGCGTCTGACTCCTGATTTTGGCTCAGGCCAAGATCTCACGGTTGGTGAGATCAAGACCTATGTCAGACTCTACACTCACAGCTCGCTCGCTCTCTATCTCTCAAAATAAATAAATAAACATTAAAAAAAAAGATATGAAATTTAACTAAGTCCCCATGAACTAACACCTATGAGACTATAAAAGGCCAATTATGAGATTTCTTTCTTTCACTATTCTCCCATATTTTCTATCCATCTATATCTCAGTTCCCAAAACAACTTTAACATCCTATCAAGTATAAGTAAAGAACTAGGTATGACACTTTGCATAAAGGAGATTTACTGTTGTTTAAGAACAAGTATGTCAAGTTTACTACTTTAAGACTTCATACAGGGGTGTCTGGATGGTTAAGCGTCTGAGTCTTGATTTTGGCTCAGGTCATAATCTCACAGTTTGTAGGATTGAGCCCCACATCGGGCTTTGAGCTGAGTGTGGAATCTGCTTGGGATTCTCTTTCTCTTTGTGTGTGTCTCTCTGTCTGTCTGTCTCTTTCTCTCCCTCTGCCCCTCTCCCTGGCTTGCAGTCTCTCTCTCTCTCTCTCTCAAAAATAAAAAAAATTACAAAAAAACTCAAGCAAACACAAAGTGGTTAAAAAAAACACAAAAAACTTCATACAAAATAGAGGAAGCAAAGACCCAAAGGCTGTGAATTTTTCAACTACTGTGATACAGTATCTGGCAAGAAACTTTGGAATTCAAGAATAAGCAGCAGTGCTCTAAGCAGTCAAGTTAATTTTAGAAATATTCTGTGAGGCACTAAGAGTAGTGAAACGATCATCTCAATTGAGATATAATGAGGATACATATTGCTGTCTCCGTCTAGCTCCCTGTTTCTAGCCAAAAGTTTAAGGCAAAAAATTTTTTCAGGACTCCTGAAATTCATTTAGCCCTCTTAGTGCATAAATCCAGACATCACCACAAAATCTCCCTGCTATTAAGTACCTTCAAACCAAATAATTGTACAAGTAATGGTTTAGGCAGTCTGAATTTAGAATCAATAAATCAATTTTACTTCTTTTTCTATTGCATGAACAAAAAGCACACTGTCACTCGGCTCTAAATACATGGTTTCTAAAACACACAGTATCTAAGTATCTTCATCATACACAAATCTGCACAAAACCAAAATCATTTCATGCTCTCACTGATGAGTTTTAAAGACAGAAACAATTGAAGAGAACTGTTTTTTTCAAACCTGTTTTGATGTGAATATCTTCTCATGTCTTCTGTTTTTTGAAACTCCCTCAGAGGTACTGGCTTTATGGGTGAACCCTAGGCCAAAAGAGCAGAAATAAATCAATTTAACATATGTATCCACAACACGGTGACTACATAGTTCACAGATGACTTGGCATTTAAAGATCTGTATATTACACTAAAAAATAGTTCAACAAAATCTTCAAATGTAAATTTTTACGTTTAAAAGCATTCATTATAAGCTGTGTTACTGCTTTGGTTAACAAAACACTATGTATAGCCCAAAAACACTTATTCTTAAAAAAGTGGGTTTCCTTCTCCCTGTATTATGTAAATTACACTGACCATACAGTAATACTCACTGACCATAGAGTAATATTTAGTAAGGTGTTCGAACTTGAGAAGATCTTAGGTGTCACCTCAGACAAATTTCCATTCAGAACAGGAATTTCAACCTGCACTACACTAACCTGTGCTCAGCCTCTCTCAATATTTCTGGTAAGGGGGAGTTCACTGGGCAGATTCCATTTCTTTACTTCATCATCACAAATTGTTACTTACGTTTAGTCATACAAATAGTCCTGCGGATATTGGTGGAATATTAAGATAAAGCAAAAAGTAACTTCTCTTTATGGTAAGATATGGTGTTAACTAAAAGAAAAACATTGGCAACTTAATTTATTTATAAACTAAAGGGTAAAGGTCATTTCAAAAAAAAATCACTGGGAAAAATTAAACTGGACTCAGTGATATGGACCACATCAAAGGTAAAGGCTTACAGGTTATCACAACATGTATTCTGTCAAATAAGAATCTATAGAAGCAATACAATCTTATTTCAACACCAAAAATAATCATTAAAGTGGGTATTCTTTTTTTTTTTTAATTTTTTTTTTTCAACGTTTATTTATTTTTGGGACAGAGAGAGACAGAGCATGAACGGGCGAGGGGCAGAGAGAGAGGGAGACACAGAATCGGAAACAGGCTCCAGGCTCTGAGCCATCAGCCCAGAGCCCGACGCGGGGCTCGAACTCACGGACCGTGAGATCGTGACCTGGTTGAAGTCGGACGCTTAACCAACTGCGCCACCCAGGCGCCCCTAAAGTGGGTCTTCTTAAAGGGAAAGAAAACCACCTTATCCAAAAACGGTATCTGAAAATCAAATGTAAAATTATTTATAGTCTATCTCCAAGAAATGGGTACATCACATAGAATTAGAAAATCTTTGATGAATTACTGCAAAAGGCTAAAGCAGACTCCCTTAAAGTTTAGGCCTGAGGATCATACAAAATGAGATATAATTCTAGAACCCTGATCAAAGAATAATTCTTCTAATTTCAGTGAACATTGGTTTTTAAAATAAACAAAAATCTCTCCTATTATGTTAACATCAGTGACTTAACACTCTGGTTTTACAATACTGCAATTATCTGCAATTATTGTAGGAGGTACATGAAATTTTCATGATAAAATGAATGTGCCATTGGTTTCATTTTGAAAATGTCATACCCTATAAATATAAGCTATACTTTATTTTATCATAATACCTCTATATTGGTGAGAGGTATTATAACAAAATTAAACAATAGCAGAGTATTTAAAATCTCATATAGATTCGGTTTTTTTTAACAACTCTTTTTTCCGATAGTATTCAAGAATATAAAAAATAATTCTTCACTGGCTGTTAAACCATCTAAAATAATGCTGCTTCATCATATTTTTATAGGTGCTAAATTGTAGAAAACCTTATGACACAGAAGTCATAAAGAGGGTTATGACATAGAATCATAAAGACTACCACACAAGCATAGCTGGAATTAAAAAAAAATTTTACAAAATAGTAATGGCTTTAACAAATGATACTACAATTTTTCAGTAGTATAACAGGCATTTTTACTTTTAATAGAGATACCTCATCTCTGCAGTCTAACTACCATAAAATGATCAAAGAGAAAGACCACAATGAAAGAAAAACAATTCCCTTTAAGATTACAATGTGCATTATTAATTTTAATTTTTTTGCAAAGCAGTTGCCCTTCGCACTAACAAGAATGTTCATGGCCTGAATCACACGTAGTTTCATTAGTCACCTGGTACACTGCTATTTCTGGGCTGCAGGACTTTGATTTATACAATTTTATCCAACTTCACATACAAGAGTGTCTTCTGAACACCAACAAAACTATTATGTTCAGAAGTCTTCAGACAGGAAGACTGAAGGATTTTTTTTAAAGAATGATAATATCACTCCACAGCACACCCCACTTGAGTGATTATTCTCGATTTCTAAAAGGCTAAATACATCATTCTCTAAAAAGGCCCCAAGTGTTTCTCAAATAACCCCTGCTCAGAGCCTGGGACCAACTCCAGACATTAACATCACACACACTGAAGTGGAGCCATTCCATTATGCTGACTAGATACACTGAAGAATGCAATTTCCACTGAGACCCTTGGGGGATTGGCAGAGATTCTACAGTGGGCTGAATGCTTATTTGTTTTCTAGGGCAACTCAATGCGCCACTAGAAGAGACACCCAAGAACGATAATGGCAAACAATTTATATTCTGTGCGACTTGGTATAAAAGCTCCAATACAATTTAAGCACATTACAAAAATTCTATGGTTAAGTTTGTATGTGCTCCAAAGTCAGCAGTTTGGTTTGATTCTTAATTACTGATCAAACTATGATTTACTAGTTAGTAACAATAAAAAAGCACTAAGAACAACAAAGAAAAAACATTACATTCTTTGTACTTTCTTTAAAGGTGTAGGATACTCTTAGGACTCCTCATTCTTCAAAATTCTGAAATCTGTCTTTTTATTTGAAAAATAAAGCTAACCCCTACTTCAGACTATTGTCTGATTTTTTACAATAAATCTGAAAAATTCATGAAATTGGAACTGAACATCATAAAATAAATAATTAGGCTTAAAGCAACAAATCACTGATACAACTGAAATTTATGCCACCATGAACTGTTTTACTAGGGGACAGCAACAGATTTTGGCTTAAATGTGTGTAGTACCTCATGAGAGATTCGCCGTTGTTCAATATATGCCATAAACTGGGAACTGAGGCTGTCTGAGTCCAGGCCCTTGGGCTGTCTCATCTCATCTTCTTCCTCCTCTGCAGTACAGCTGTCGATGTAGTCGATCTGATCCAGATCATGTTCCACTGTCCACACCACACACACACAACAGTCAAATTCAATAGCCAATAAAGACATTCAGTTGTATGCTTTCTTTTTCCCTAACACCTTCTACTCTGAAAGCAGGAGGAATGAGAAGTGCAAATTAGGTAAGCCTTTCTTTTACAGTCCATGGCCACTCACAAAAATAAGTTCCAGAAAAATCTTAGTCCTAATTCACTAAAGAATACAGTAATTGATAGTAATTACAGGACTACAAACCTCTAATATATATATATATATATTTTTAATATTTATTTATTTATTTATTTATTTATTTATTTATTTATTTATTTATTTTTTGGTTAGCTCTTTACTGTTTTAAACAAAACAGTTTGAGTTTGTGAGACAAAGAGAAGAAGAATTTTTAAACATGAGAAGTTACATCTTCTTTTAGATTTTTTTCCCTCACGTTTTAGCTTTGGGGCTTAATTATATATCTTCAAGGAACTGGGAGGCAGAAAACCTAACGCAGTCAAGTCAAAAGGAAGGATAGGAGGAAAGTGAACTTAGAGATAAAGAAACAGATACTGACTACTGTTTCTCTTTCTGTAACTGTTGTCCACAATTAGAACAATGATGTTCTTATTTAGAAATTTATCTTCTAGAGCTCAGCAATGTAGACATTTGGTAGCAGTTTGTAGCAGCAATCATTCAAGAATTTTTGCTTCTCAAAATGCTTTGGGGTGAGAAAAGGTATTTAAGTAAGATATAGCCCCATCATTATATATTCTAATACATTTGGGAGTGCTCCATTATTTTTAAGTTTAAAAAGTAACCTTATTTTAAAGATTTTATTTTTAAGTAATCTCTACACTCAATGTGGGGCTTAAACCTATAACCCTGAGATCAAGAGTTGCATGCTCCACCAACTGAGCCAGCCAGGCACCCCAAAAAGTAACTACTTTTAAAAACTATTTAAAATGGCACACTAGAAAAAAAAAAACTTACTACTAAACTTTCTAAAGTTTCTCCAGAAACTAAATCCCAGCCATTACTGTATGATGTTCTATTTCTATAGATTGCCCAAAAGTTGTAGTTGCTGGGAATAATGAACTCGGAGAAAGCTATTTCTGTTTTCAGATTCAATTATTTCTAAATAATTCCGTAACTGCAATTGATATAAAAATGAATTTTGAGTTATTAGAGTTATAATAATAGGTAAAAGGATGAAAAGGTTACAAGTCTATATCCAAATTATAAACCAGGTACATAAATGTATTTTTTTCAATGTGCTACAATTTGTGTAACTAAATCAATGATTAAGTCATTATGACTACTTCCCAAGAAAGCAACATCACTTTTTCATACTACCTAGGCCAGTGCAGTCCAAAAGAAACAGAATGCAAGCCATAAAAGTGAACCCACATAAGTAATTCAAAATTATCTAGTAGCCACATTTAAAAAAGGTGATATTAGTTTTAATAGTATATTTTACTTTGTCCAATATATCTAAAGTATTATTACAGCATATAATCAATAGAAAGTATTACTGATATTTTACATTTTTTTTTCATGCAAAGGCTTCATAATCCAATCTGTATTGGTTTATGTACACTTACAGTACATCTTAATTTAGAAAGGCCTTATTTCAAATAACCACATGTAGCTAGTGGCTACCATACTGGACAGCATAGATTAAAAACAAAAATTATTTTAAGTCTGAAATGAACTAAAGGGAAAGAGAGCTCATGTGGAAGCAAGATTAAAAAGAAAACTACTAAAATGTGAGTGGAATGGTAAGTAACAGGAGTAAAAAAGAATATAAAATGGTAAGGAAACAAAAAGAGAGCAAGCCACTTAATTGAAATCATCATTCAAGGATGAAAGCTCTTAGGAAAACATACAGATGGCTAACAGACACATGAAAAGATACTCATCATCACTTATCATCAGGAAAATGCAAATCAAAACTACAATGAGATATCACCTCACACCTGGCAGAATGGCTAAACAACAACACAAGAAACAACAGATGTTGGTAAGAATGCGGAGAAAAAGGAACACTTGTGCACTCTTGGTGGGAATGCAAACTGGTGCAGCCACTGTGGAAAACAGGACGAAGGTTCCCCAAAAAGTTAAAAATAGAACTACTCTATGATCCAGCAATTGCACTACTGGGTATTTACCAGTACCCAGTTTATGTTTATAGCAGTCTTATTTTTTGCTCCCTCTCTATGTTATTATTTACAATAGTTTACAGCATTATTTACAATAGCCAAGATACGGAAGCAGCCCAAGTGTCACTGACAGATGAATGGATAAAGGAGATGTGGTATATATACACAATCAAATATTATTCAGCTATAAAAAAGAATGAAACCTTGCCATCTGCAATGACATGGATAGAGCTGCAGAGTATAATGCTAAGCAAAATAAAGCCAAAGACAAATATCATACGATTTCACTCATATGTGAAATTTAAGAAACAAAACAAAGGGAAAAGGGGGGAGGGGGAGAGAGAGAGATAGAAATTAAGAAACAGACTCTTAATTACAGAGAACAAACTGATGGTTACCAGAGGGGAGGTGGGTGGGGGAGATGGGATAAACAGGTGTTGGGGATTAAGAAGTACACTTGTCGTGATGAGCAGAGGGTGATATATGGAAGTGTTGAATTACTACACTATACACCTAAAACTACACCTGAACACCTAAAACATATAGTAATACTGTATGTTAACTAAGTGGAATTCAAATAAAAGCTTAAAAAAAAAGATGAAAGCTCTTACAAATGGATTTCTAGAAAACCAAAATAATATCTCCATTATAGCTGGCCCTCAATATTTAAACCTTAGGATTTGGGAATTCAAACTAAAGCAAGATTGAATAGAATGCTAAAATCAAGAGTCTGCCTCAGAAGCCCAAAGTAGAAATAGCTCTACTGTTAATGAGCTATTAAAAAAATGACAAATTAAAAAAAATTAATTCCAATTATAAATTTTTAAATACCAAAATAAAGACAACTTGGATTTAGATGCCCCTCAAGAACACAATTCCAGATGAACGCAAAGGTAGATGTCAAGAAGCACATCGAATTGAATTCCTGGAAGTGGTCAAATAATGACCACAGAGAGAATACACAAACAAAAGGAGTAGATGTGAAAAAGACCACTTAAAAAATCGGAATAATTACAAAGGCTTTGGCTGTCACAAGGAATCATGCCTACCTCCACCATTTGTTACTACTAAACTGCTGCGATTCTCCTGGTACTGGCTTTCTCTTCGTAGTCTTTGTTCTTTAGTAATTTCTGCTACTCGAAGAGGCAGATCTGAAAATTCATCTGTAGGCTTAAAAAAAAATAGCAGTAACATTTAAACACATTTCAAACTTTAAACAACACAGTATTTAAAGCGTGGACACAACATAAGCTCACTAAAATTTATATTTAACAAGAAACAGCAAAAAAGTTCTGGAGTGGTGGTGGTGATTGTTTTTCAACAGTATGAATATACTCAAGAATGGTTAAAATGGTCCGTTTTATGTTACGTATATTCGACTACAATTAAAAAGAGATGAGAAATTATATATGACTATAAATAAACATGAATTTAAAGTATCTACACAGATATCTGTGTGGATACAGATATAATTATGTACACACCCACTCACACACAAGTAATTCCAAATTACAAATGGGCTGTGGTCTGAAGTTGATTTGTTTGGGGATGAGTGAAACAATGTTACAAGTGGGAGGTTATCAGTCTTGTTAACAAAAGCTTATTTCATCAGTTAGCCCAATTTAGGCTAAAATATTCTACCTTTTAATTTAAAGAGGGAAAGCATAATAAAATTTAACACAGGAGAAAAAAGATATAATTAGCTAAGAAAATTATTTATCTTGAGCATGTTAATAGTCTTCACTAAGGTTCTTGCCTCATTACCCATCAGCCTGTAGTCCTATTTTCTCATCTCTCAGCATCCCTTCTACCACCTCTGCTCAAGGTTACCCAGTCTGGCAAATTTTAGTCTTCAGTTGTAATTGGCTCATTTGGATTTGCCGGATATTAAGCCTATTTGGTTTTCCAGGATATTAAGCTATTTATACAAAACAATGAAGTAACAAACATGTAAAACACTTGGTAAAAAGACAGCAAAGAAACAAAATATCATTTCTGAATGGTAGCTCTCTGTGGGATTTTTTTCCTCTCTTTTGGCTTTTCTATATTTTACATAATGAGAAACTGAATTCAATTAAGAATCTTTCCATTTTCATCATTTTATTGCCTCTTAGGGGTCAGAACATGCAGAATAGAAGAAACACTTACTTCATTTCCTGACCATCTCTTATCACCACTGTCCACACTATTGAAACCTGAATCAAGGGCTCCATAAGGGCGTCCTGAGTACATTTCTTCATGGCTGCCAAAAAAGAGTCTGGCTGTTACTGGGAAGTTTGAGGTTTTAAAATTAACATCTGAAATAAACCGAATGCAATTTTACTAATAAACATTATCTCATGCCAGTTAGTGATTTAACTTCCTTAGAACTAAATCGGCATTCTTTTAAAAGTTTTTTTTTTTTTTTAATGTTTGTTTATTTTTGTGAGAGCAAGAGAGACGGAGTGAGCGGGGAATGAACAGAGACAGAGGGAGACACAGAATCTGAAGCAGGCTCCAGGCTCTGAGCTGTCAGCACAGAGGCTGACGTGGGGCTCAAAGCCACAAACCATGAGATCATGACTTGAGCTGAAGTCGGACGCTCAACCAACGGAGCCACCCAAGTGCCCCAAATGGAAATTCTTTTAACTTTTTAATATGAAAAATTCCAAATTAAAACAATTAGAATAGTATAATGTATATCAGTATAAGAATATAACAGCACTCATCCAGCTTCAAAAATATCAACCTACTGCCATTCTTGTTTCCTCCATGCTACTAACCCATTCACCATGCCTCCCTCAATTCTTATTTTTAACAGCACTTTTTAAGGTAAAATTCATATACACTGAAATGCACACACCTTAAGCTACATACTTGACAAATGAATACATCTTTGTAATATACACCTCTCTCATGATATAAGACATTTCTACTTTGCCAGAAGATTCCCACTCATTCCTTACCAGTCAATTCCCCTCACCACGCTACAGGGTGCTCCTAAGAGATAACCACTAATTTTTTTTCACCTTAAATTCGTATGGAAGGCAGAGTAACAGTCCCCAAAGATGTCCAAGACATAATCTCTGGAACTATGAATACGTTACTTTACATGGCAAAGAGGAATTAAGATTGAAGATAAAAATAAAACTGCTGGGGCGCCTGGGTGGCGCAGTCGGTTGAGCGTCCGACTTCAGCCAGGTCACGATCTCGCGGTCCGTGAGTTCGAGCCCCGCGTCAGGCTCTGGGCTGATGGCTCAGAGCCTGGAGCCTGTTTCCGATTCTGTGTCTCCCTCTCTCTCTGCCCCTCCCCCGTTCATGCTCTGTCTCTCTCTGTCCCAAAAATAAATAAATGTTGAAAAAAAAATTTTTATAAAAAAATAAAAATAAAAAAAAATAAATAAAACTGCTAATCAGCTGATCTTAAAATAGGGAGATTATTGTGAATTATTTGAATGGGCTCAATGTAATCAAAAGGGTCCTTAAAAGTAGAAGAGGGAGGCAGAAGAGGAGGCCAGTGTAATGCAATGCTGGCTTGAAGATTACTCTCGGTCAAGAGTCAAGGAATGCAGACAGCTTCTCTGTAGAAGCTGAAAAAGGCAAGGAAATGTATCTTACTCAGAGCCTGCAGAGAAGAACAAAGTTCTGCCAGTATTTTGATTTTAGCCTCATGAGACCAAGATTTAGACCTTGAACCTACAAAACTGTAAGATAATAAATTTGTGTTTAAAATCAAAATTTGTGGTAATTCATTATGGCAGCAATAAGAAATTAATACAATTAGTTTTACTTATTCCAAAACTCATAAAAATGGAATCATATGTAATTTTTTTAATTTGGCTTTTTTGGCTCAGCATCATGTCAGTGAAATTCTTGATGGTTTTACCTTCAAATATAATGGATAAATTATTTGTCATGTGTAGGCTTAACTTTTTAAAAACATTGCCAATCTGTTTTTGAAAGGAGCTATATTATTTTGCATTCACCCAGCAACGTATTTGAGTTCCACGTGCCCACACTTGTGTTGTCAATCTTTAATCTTAGCTATTATGGTAGGAGAAAAGTGGTATCTCACTGCAGTTTTAATCTGTATCTCTCCAATGACTAATGATATCGAGTATCATTTTGTGTGCATGTCGGCCATTCATTTACCTTCTTTTTGTGAAATGTCCATTCTTTTGTCCATTTCAAAATACATCAGCAATCTCAAAAATAGTTTGCTAAGAAGCCATACACCAAACACTACATAATACTTGATTCCATTTATATGAAACTCTAGAAAAGGCAAAACTGTATCAACAGAACACAGGGCAGTAGTTGCCTGGGGTTGAGTTACCTACTGTAAAGTGGAAAATGGTTGATGGAAATGCTATAGACCTTGACTGTGTTGATAATTTCGTGACTGCATCCATTTGCCAAAATTCACTGAACCGCACACTTAAAATGGATAGATTTTATTATTTGTATATTATACCTCAACAAAGCAGTTAAATCTGCCAAATTCTTATGTTAAAGTACATGTCCCATTTTTACAATTCTATAAGCAACGTATGAGAACACTGGTTGCTCCACATCCTCAATAAACATTTGGTGGTGTCAGTTCTTTTACGTTTATTTAATTTGAAAGAGAGAGAGAAGAGGCCAGAGAGACAGGGAGAGAGAGAATCCCAAGCAGGCCCCGTGCTATCAGCACAGAGCCTGACGTGGGGCTTGACCTCACAAATCATGAAATCATGATCTGAGCCGAGATGGAGGGATGGATGCCTAACTGACTGAGCCACTCAGGTGCTCCACTGTTGTCAGTTTAAATTTAGTCATTCTAGTGAGTGTGTAATGATGTCTTGTGCTGTAATTTACATTTCTGTGATGATTAATGATGTTGAACACTTTTTGGGGTGCTTAGTGATCACTGGTGTATCTCTCTTTGTTAAATACCTACTCAAGTCTTTGTCCAATTTTTTTTAAGTTTCTTTATTTATTTTGAGAGAGAGAAAGAGAGAGAGAATAGGGAAAGAGGCAGAGAGAGAGGCAGAGACAGAATCCCAAGCGGGCTCTGTCCTGTCAGTGCAAAGCCCAATACAGGGCTTGATCTCAGGAACCATGAGGTTATGACCTGAGCCGAAATCAAGAGTCAGATGCTTAACCAACTGAGCCACCCAAGCGCCCCTACTGAACAGTATTTTAAAACACTATGTATTTTTTTCAAAAAAAAATACAGATTTCTAGAAGATATTGTTCTACATAATATATATTCTATCAAGTGGCCAACTGAGATATGCTTACTATTACTGAGAAATTTTTCATAAAGAGAATTAATAGAATCTTTGCAATAAGCTATCATTTTCTTTCTCTTCTTTATTTGCTACCTTTAGCTTCTCCACATACTTGCTCTTGCTCAGAGCTTAAACTGGTAAGATTAAAGTGAGACATATAGGTTTACCAATTCTCAGGTTGGCTCAGGATTTTCATGGTTTTAGCACTTTGAGTCCTGTGTCCCAGGAAAACCCTTAGTCACAAGTAAACCAAGATACATGGTCACCCTATGTATAAATATGGCCTTCAGGAGACCTAGCAGAGTTCTGCCAGCCAGGCTCCAGTGATGCCCTGTCAGAAAGCCCAATCTCCCTAATAAACCACCTAGAACAACATGGACTCAAGTGTGGAAATGCCTCTTCTGTAGCAGGAATGTGAACTGTGAGTCACTACAGTGCAGAGAGGGGCACAAAACATAGCAAGTTTTATAGTTTAACAGATCTGGACTGGCAACTTGGCACCATCATTTACTAGCTATGTGACTTTAATTAACTTGCTTAACTTCTTTCAACTTTTGTTTCCTCATCACTTAAAGGGGGGTGGGGGAAAGATTAACAACACCTACCTCATAGATTTGCCATAAAGACTGAAAAAATATAAGCTAAGGATTTGTACAAATCCTATTATAAAGCACTAAATAAAAGTTTATTATTATTATTTCTATAAAGAACATAACCTTCAGAGAGTATTTGCTGTTATAACAAGTCACTACATCTGCTTCATTTGAGTTTAGTTCACCAAACATTTACTGAATGTGACACAGTGTTCTAGATGCTAAGAATATTGAGTATGAAAAAAGGACAATCATTGCTTTCACAACAAGCTCAGGCTTGTTGGAGAGAATTAATCCTGTTACTGGGGCTGCAGAAGCAGGACTTTTCTTAGTCCTGCTTACTGCTTAACTTAGTCTTTCCTCACTGCCATATTACCATAAATAAATAAATAAATAAATAAATAAATAAATAAATAAATATGTTTAGTCTGTAATATAAAGTTGGTGAAAATCGTCTCAGCAAAAAAGTACAGGTCACTATAGATCACTAAGGAAAAATACATGTGCCACTCTGTAAAACATAAAAGTTATCATAACAGTGCAACTTGCTAAAAGAGTTGGAAATACTTACATCTAGAAATAAAATGACTTAAGGAAGATTGTGTGCTGTTTTTATATTACACACAAGTAGTCAGAAAGTTACATTTAAGGATTTGAAAAGTACCACAGCATCTAATTTGTACTGAATACCTAACGAGCTACAGGATTAATAAAAATTCTCTTTAGCAAGACCGGACTCTTAGGACGAAACTAGTCCTAGATCATAGTAGACAGCTAGTAATTATAATGCCTAATATTTACAGAAGACTTTATGGTCAGCCAAGCACTTTCAGAAATAGGTCATTCAATCCTCAAAACTACTGTTAGGGTATCAACAGGGTAAATAAAGCTCATGTTGAAGAAACTGAAGTCCAGAGGGGTTAAGTGAACTCTAGAACTTTCCAGTAGTACAGGTACCCAAGAGTATAGACATTCTGACTCCATGACAGCATTTGAATAAAGGTACTGCTAACTACAATGCAGTTTCACTAATTTTTACCTCAATAAAAGAGACATGAAGGTATAATGTTCCATTCACTGCTGCACGAGAAGTTGAAGGAGGTATTTTATTCATATGTATATATGTATATGTATTCATATATATATATAAAATAATTTCTAGGACATTCTGAAACAATTACAAACAAAGTAACATACCTCTAGAAAAAATGGAAAATATAGAATACAGATTAATTCAGTGAGCATAATGAGGGGTTATTATAGGGATTAGGAGATATCAGATCTATAATTACCAATCCTTTGGAAAAACATGACATGATTATGCTATTTAGACTTTCCATTTAGGATACATTTCTCCATGGATTTAATCCTTTTATCTCTTTGCAAATATACATGTCTCTTGCCAGTTTTTTTAAATATATATAAGCTTAATGTTTTTAAAGTATTATAATGAGGATTCTTCTATTAAAAAAAAATTAGGGGCACCTGGGTGGCTCAGTCAGTTGGGCGTCCGACTCTTGATTTCAGCTTGGGTCATGATCCCAGGGTTGTGGGATTGAGCCCTATGTTGGGCTTTGTGCAGAACGTAGAGCCTGCTTAGAATTCTCTCTCTTTCTTTCTCTCTCCCTCTCTCTCTCTCTCCCCGCCCCCTTGTACCCCTCTCCCATGCTCATGCTCTTTCTCCCTCTAAAAACTCCAAACAAAAAAATTAGCCCAAGATCAATTAGTCCTCAAGACTAAGAACTGAATGGCTGAGAGAAACAGGTTCTGCAATTAGCACTACAGGCCTCAATCAAAGCTTATTATTCTGATAGATGTGGACGCTGCCTCCTTAGTCTTTGGGCATACCCTCATGTACAGGTCTCCAGTAGACAGCATTCACTGCCTTACACTCCAATCTCAGAGGCAGCAGTAGCAATTTATGTTTCTACTCACTAGTTCAGGAGAGGAAAATTTTTCCGTACCAAAGACTATTAACACCATGGGGGAAAATAAAAGCTACGTTAATTTATTGTACATTTTTCTTTCCCTCCCTCCCTTCCATTCTTTTTTAAACCGCAATTACGAACTTTATTATTTTTTTTAATGTTTTATTTATTTTTGAGAGAGAGAGAGAGAGAGAGAGCAAGAGAGCGAGCATAGGTGGGAGAGGGGCAGAGAGTGAGGGAGACACAGAATCCCAAGCAGACTCCAGGTTCCCAGCTGTCAGCACAAAGCCTGACACGGGGCTTGAATCCACGAGCCATATGATCATGACCTGAGCCGAAGTTGGATGCTTAACTGACTCAGCCACCCAGGTGCCCCTATTTATTGTACATCTTTCACGAGTACAGGACTAGAACACATTTAATGAAAATCTTGAATAGGAAAAACAAAACTTTTTTCAATAAATATGACAAGAGTTCTATGTTATAAGCAATTAACCAAGGTAGGAGGAAAAAGAAATGAAGAAAGAAAAGGATATAATGAATAGAGAAAATTTTAAAATTCTTGGCAATAATGGTCTGGGTCCCTTCATATTCTTCCCACTGTCAAAGTCCTTCCTCCAAGAGAGGCCTAGACTAGCACAGAGTATGCCAGACCTAATCCCTACCATCTGTCAAAACCTTTTCTGTCTTCCTTGACATCACATACCTGCTTTTAGTCTTCTTAGAGTTAAAAGTGTTAGAACTAAGATATTCTTGTGGAAATCTTTCCTGGGTATATATGATATTGGTTAATTTCTCCTGTGTGTTTGAATAAGTATACTAAAATTTGTATTGCTGTATGCTTAAACAACCAGATTAGAGCTAGTATTTTAAATATCCTTCACAGTGTCTATGTAAATCTTCAATCTAATAGCCAAAGCAAAAAAAAAAAAACAAACCCCAGAATGTCACCATAAAGTTGTTTTTGATGACTTTAAGCAGAGGTAGGTTAGGAGGGAAATAACATCTGTGTGACCAAACAGACTATTAATTCCTTCAACAAATATTTGCTGAGTGTCTACTGTCTGTGCCAAACACTCAGGTGAACTAGGGATACAATGGTAAAGAAGAAAGACACCATCTGTGGCAAAGGGCAGGGATCAAGTCCCTTTGGAGTAATACTTAATTTACTTGAGAAATCAGGTTCTGAATTTTCAGATAGCTTGAGATTACTCCTTTACACCATCAACACTTAAATATTTAATTCCAATAATTTCTGATGAAAAAAAATTTAAACTGTAATGCCTATATTCCTTTATTGGAAATGACATGTCTAATATATTTTAGCATTTTCTTTATGAGCATCAATTATTGTATTGTGCTATAACATAGTAATTACAAAATATCACTGAAATATGGAGGGTTCTTTGCATATATGCCTACTGGTGTCAAGTTGCTATGTTTTTAGTGTGTCTTGCTTTTAAGTATCTTATTAAAATTATGCAATGTATCATATTGATTAAAAAAAGAATATAACAGACATAACTTTTAAAACAGGATGGAACATTAATACCTTTAAAGCCCCTTGATGCCTCTTTCATACCAAATCTTCCTTCCTCTTAGAGTTAACCAGTAACTTGAATCTTTTGTTTAACATGTGTCACTTTTTAAGTTTAATTTTTTCCTTCAAATTACTTTTTGTACTTTTAATATGCCTGCTTTTACAAACTCTACCCAAACAGAAATTTGTTAATCTGTTTTAGACAAGGATATGAGAAGCAAGCTCATCAGGACTGTGCTTTTATGTAAAACACGACAGGTTCTAAGAGAAAGCTGGAGGGGATCTCTTTTGAATAAGGCCTTGATGGAGACATCCATTTTGCCTGTTTAAAGGCTTTTTGAATTTATTCCTGCTACTTAAGATTGTTCCAGATGGCTGAGAATGCCAAGGAGATAACCTTCTAAATCAGGTGTTATGTAGCCAAAGGATTCAGACTAAAAGATACTGAAAGTATTATTAATGGTCATCAAATCCAAACTCTTCATTCCCTATTGAAAAAAATGAAGCCCCAAAAGTCTGAATGACTTGCTTTAAGTCACAGAGCTAGTTAACAGCAGAGCCAAGGTCAGCATTCCAGTCACTCAGATCACTGGTTTTCAACTGGGAACCCCTGCAGGGGATATTTGGCAATGTCTGGAGATATTTTTGTTTGTCACTTTGGGAGGGTGCTACAGAAGCCAGGAATACTGATAAACATCTTCTGAATTATGGGACAGCTTCTCACAACAAAGAATTATCTTGCCCAAAATATCAACAATACTGAGATGGAGAAACCCTGACTTAGAACTACACTTTGTCAGATCTGTGTAATCAACTGTTTACTTAATACAAGTATTCTGAGAAAAAGTGTCAAAATAGATTATTTCCTTTTAGTTAAGCATTCAGGCAGACTTATGGTCCGGTTTGATTCCCTGTGAGATGGAACATGTTAAATAAAGAAATAGAACATACTCACCAGGAGCCAAAACCCAAGGGTCTCCTATCATAATCTGGCAGATCTGGAGCAATCTTACAAGCCTGTATGTTCAGGTACTTAAATATGTGGACTTTGCCTTTTATACATATCTAAAAAAAATAACATAAATGCAACCAAATTATTACTCATCTGAAATATATGTATCCCTTTCTAAAAATCATAATCATCTTTTTATTTAAAGTATATTAGAAATAGAAGGTATTTCTAGCAACCATATATAGTGATATTAAAAATCTAACACTAAATTATAACATATTATTTGTTATTTTATGTGTTTATGTGATACACACACACACACACACACACACATTTTTAGTTTCTAGTCATGAATAAGTTTCAGTAACATATAAAATAAATAACTTATGATTATAAATACTGCTAGAATACCAAGTAAACTTATCACACTGATTAGTTAGGCACAGTCAGGAATTTAAAGCATTGCTCTCCATGGATTATACTGGCAACTTTTGCTTTTAGAAATCCAGCAATCATGTACAATTATGCTTTGAATTCTACTTTCTGTAAGAGAGAAAAGCAGGAAATGATTAAATATTAAGGTTGTATTTCCGTTGACAAGTAAAAATATAAATTCTTTAGGATTATGAGATCCTTCTACAGTTATGAAGTTTACTCATAAAGCTTTAGAGTTGCCATTCAGAGGTTTGAACAAGACCACGAATCAACTGTAGAGTACAAACTCTATAGTGAAAAATACACATTGGTAAAGTTGTTCAGATTATAGGATGTCTGGAATCTATGTATGAAACTACCTTATAATTACTTTATTATTAGTTTCATTATCAGCCACTGATAAACAAATGACCAAATTGATTAAATGAGGAACTTAAAGATTTTAGAAAATAAAAAGGTACAAAAATGATGTTTAAAAGAAATGTACTGATAATCCTTAGTTCTGAAAGCCAAATATTTTTATTTGTGTCTAGCATTTACATTGGCTACATTCAAGTCTTACTAGAAAGAAATTAACTCAAATTTTATTAGAAAAACTTTAAGGAAAAACACTTCAACTTAAAAAAAAAAAAAGTCAATTCAATGAAAGGAAAAAAACATTCTGGAAACATTACCTGTCCTCCATCCCATTTATTCAAGACTTCTAAAGAATGCCTATGTGTGTGAATTTACTTTAAAAGAACTTCATTTCCAACAAAAAAGATAAATGCATAGAACTTCAAGTTTTAAGTTCACCCTTTGTCAAAAAAGTTCACAACATCCTTCAAATCCACTATAGTTTACCTGTGCAGGAGGAGACTGTAGTGGATTGTTATCTAGGGTGATCATCTGTAGGTGCCTGAGGTTCCGATAACAAACGGGGATTGTTGTAATTTTATTGCAGGAGAAGTCGAACCGTATCAAAGGCAACTCTGCCAGCTCTGCCGGGTGATAAGATGGGAATGAACAATTAATAATATTTCAAAACTAGGCAAGTTTTTAAAAAAAATTTTTAACATTTATTCATTTTTGAGAGACAGAGAGAGATAGAGTGAGAGTGGGGGAGGGGCAGAGAGAGAGGGAGACACAGAATCCGAAGCAGATTCCAGGCTATGAGCTGTCAGCGCAGAGCCTGATGTGGGGCTTGAACCCACGAACTGTGAGATCATGACCCGAGTTGAAGTCAGATGCCTAACCGACTGAGCCACCCAGGCACCCCAAAACTAGACAAGTTTTATGGGAGCTTCTAATTAAATACAGTGAATTTAATGTATTTATCTCCATTCTTTCTTAACAATGAACTGATACTATAAAATGAAATCTAGTTACTTACAGATGGGAATACTAATAAAAAGCAAGCTATGTGACCACTCACAGAACTAAAGAACCAGAGGCTGATACCACAGAAACACAGGCATAACCAAGGAATCAGATGATAATCTGTACAAAAAACAAGTGCCTAAGTCCCCAACCTCAACTCACGTAGCTAGGGCACTACTCCTTTCCAATCACCACAGAAGTCAACAACTTATTCTCTAGTGAAACTGAATCAAAAGGCTTTGAACTCAGGAAGTTTAGGTACAATGGAAAGTCAGGATGATGAGGTGCTTGTTGAAAATGAAGGCTTTAAGAGAAAGTCTTACACAATGATGAGACCTCAGCGCTTTCCTACCCAACCCCAACCCATCCCAGCCCTAGTATCTGAATAATCTCCCTCCCTTATCCATGGGGGATATGTTCCAAGATCCCCAGTGGATGCTGAAACCAGTTAGTACCAAACCCTATATATACCATGATTTTCCCTATATATACCATGAGACATACCTGTATATGTATACATGATAAAGATTAATTTATAAATTAGGCACAAGAAATGAACAAGAATAACTAATAATAGAATACTTATAACAATGTAGTGTAATAAAAATTATGTAATTATGGTCTCTCTCTCTCTCTCTCTCTCTCTCTCTCTGCTAGAAAAAGAGGAAGGAATCAGCCATAGGTACATAAAAAAAACTAAGCAAATAAAAAAAAAGAAATTATTAACTCCAGAAAAACAACAACAATAAAAAAAAAATAAATGAGATCAGGGTGCCTGGGTGGCTCAGTCAGTTAAGCGTCCAACTTCGGCTCAGGTCATGATCTCACCGTTCGTGAGTTCTAGCCCCGTGTTGGGCTCTGTGCTGACAGCTCAGACCCTGGAGCCTGCTTCGGATTCTGTATCTCCCTCTCTTTCTGCCCCTCCCCCACTTGTGCTCTGTCTCTCTGTCTCTCTCAAAAATAAACAAACATTAAAAAATTTTTTTAAAAAATGAAATTAGTACATCAACTGAATTGGCAGGGACCAATATTCATATCGTTATAATAATGTAAATAATAATGCTTTGATCAGAAGTTGTGATAAAACTATACTGGGAAGACAGTAGGAGGGAGGTGAGTTTTTGGATGATGGTGATAGTGTGTAAGGAAGTGAAATCCTCATCTACCACAATGGGAAGCTCACATTAAATGTCAAAATGGATAAATCGAGCAAAGCTCTTAAAGGCACATCATTTAGAAATATGTCAAAAAATGCCAGTGGAAAGAGTCAAAGGCAGAGAAGGCAGATGCTTCTAAACATTAAAACTGGGGAGGGGGATAGCTGAGGCAGAGGAATGCTATTATTGATTTTAAACTTTTTTTTTTTTTTTGGTATTCGTTTAAAATTTTTTTTAATGTTTTTATTTATTTTTGAAGGAGAGAGAGAGAGAGAGAGAGAGAGAGAGAGAGACAGAGCATGAGCAGGGGAGGAACAGAGAGAGAGGGAGACAGAGAATCCGAAGCAGGCTCCAGGCTCTGAGCTGTCAGCACAGAGCCCAATTGTTTTTTAGTATTTGGGTTAGCACCTCGTGTTATATGGAAGTGTTGAATCACTATATTTGTACACCTGAAACTAATCTTACACTGTATGTTAATTAAGTGGAATTTATTATTATTTTTTTTAATGTTTATTTTTAAGAGAGAGAGACAGAGACAGGGCATGAGCAGAAGAGGAGCAGAGAGAGGGGGAAACACAGAATCCAAAGCAGGAGCCAGGCTCCAAGCTGAGCTGTCAGCACAAAGCCCAATGCAGGGCTTGAACTCATGAACCGTGAGATCATTACCTGAGCCAAGTTGGACGCTTAACTGACTGAGCCATCCAGGTGCCCCTAAACTTCTTGAATATTATTTGACTTTCTGAATGATATTTTATAACAATTAAAATTTAAAATCAAAATGGCAATACAACTAAAGACACTAATATCTACCAAATTGTAAAATGTCAGAGACCACCACTTACAATGAACTTCCACACTAACTTGTATAGCAACTGAAATGAAGCTTTCCTGCCATCTCAGTTTAGCTGAATATGCTGAAATTATAAGATAAGCTAATAGAAAACCATTTAAAATTATTTGTGTGACTCACCATTTTCTTGCAAATACACCTTCAAAATCAGATAGAGAAATAAATTAGATGATAAAACTATTAGACCGCAATTGTCATCTAAAACCCCAAATTTTCATGGGGCGCCTGGGTGGCGCAGTCGGTTAAGCGTCCGACTTCAGCCAGGTCACCATCTCGCAGTCCGTGAGTTCGAGCCCCGCGTCGGGCTCTGGGCTGATGGCTCAGAGCCTGGAGCCTGTTTCCGATTCTGAGTCTCCCTCTCTCTCTGACCCTCTCCCGTTCATGCTCTGTCTCTCTCTGTCCCAAAAATAAATAAACGTTGAAAAAAAAAAAAAACTTTAAAAAAATAAAACCCCAAATTTTCATTTTCACTAAAATCCCAATGTTTTCATTAAATGATCTTATATGAAGTCAGTATTATTGCGTTAGTAAGCTTTTAAAGATCAACATAGTAGATGAGTCCCACTACATACTACCTACTACTACTCTACTGGGTAGAAGGGTAATCTTGGATTGAAATTTGGGGTTGTAAGGTCTGTGCCATGATTTTGTTCAGCTCTGCTGGGGGCCTTCATTCACATTCCTGAGAGGGTAGAAAGCAGGCCCAAGAGGAAATGAGGAAGGCTCTGAAAATACAAGGTGAAAAGTTTACCAGGCTAAAGCGACTGAGAGGAAAGTTAAGCAGGATTTTGGCTAGTGCGATTACAGTAGGGTGTATAAAAGTAGACTGAAAAATGACTTTCTGAGACATTTTCACATCCATAATGTCAAAGCTACACTAGTATGTTAGAGCTAAAAATCATATTGGGTCATATTGGTGTTAACATTTGGATTCTAGAATGAAGCAAAAGCATCATTAGTCAATTCAATATTTACTATACACTGTAAGTCATGTTTTATAGCAGAACCTAGAGCACCAATGTCACGAAAATACCTTCTAAAGGATAGAGTTAAGGGAAAGTGGATGGGAGTACAGATGACACAAGAGTTGCCATGAGCTGATAACTACTGTAGTTGGATGAATCACTGCTCTCATTTATATATGAAATTGTCCATAATAAAATTAAAGAAATATATACTCTGATCTAATAAAATAATAGTTCTCCCCATTTTCATTTCCTTTTATAAAGCTTTTTCTTTCATGAATTCATATTTTGAAGGCTTGATAAATTATACCTAATTTGTATAATCATTTTTATCACTCAAATACATATACCAGAGCTTACAGTGAGCCTAAGATAACCAGCCTCCCAGTGCAGTCTTTCACTCCATTCATTATTCACTCTACATATCACCTCCAAATGTTCTTTAGTCCCTACCTGAATGTTTCCAGGGAAGGATAAAGTAATTAAGTTCAAGTCAAGTCCATTTTAAATGGACAGTGCAAAATGTAGGAATGTTTTTCATTATGCTAAAATATCTCACTATCAGAAACATGATATATTTCTCTCAAGTAGTTATGCTTACTGAAACTTCCAGGGAACCTACCCTGAGTTGCTACTTAATTCTGACTAGATCTAAAAATACAATCACTGGTTTATAGTTATTAGAATTTTTCACTGCAGAATCTTTTATTTTTTTAATTTTTATTTTATTTTTTAATGTTTGTTTATTTTTGAGAGACAGAGCATGCACAAGCAGGGGAGGGACAGAGAGACAGAGAATCCCAAGCAGGTTCTGCACTGTCAGTGCAGAGCCTAACTCGAGGCTCAAACCCACAAACCACAAGATGGTAACCTGAACCAAAACCAAGAATCGGCTGCTTAACCAACTGAGCCACCTGCGCACCCCTGAAGAATCTAACTTTTAAAAGTTAGACTGGGTGGCTTAGTCAGTTAAGCAACTGACTCTTGATTTCGGCTCAGGTCATGATCTCATGTTTGTGAGTTCGAGCACCACATCAGGCTCTGTGCTGCTAGTGTGGAGTCTGCGGTGAATTCTCTCTCTCCTTCGCTCTCTGCCCCTCCCCTGCACATGCTTATTGTCTCTCTCTCTAAAAATAAATAAACTTAAAATCCACAATGAAACATGTAATAACTAAATCATTATATCTTGAACACTGGCTAGATGTTATCTATCTATCTATCTATCTATCCCAAATGTTTATTTATTTAGCTTTGAGAGATAAAAATGTGCATGAGTGGGGGAGGGGCAGAGAGTGAGGGAGGCAAAGAATTCCCAAGCAGGTTCCATGCCGTCAGCACAGAGCCCAACAGGGGGCTGAAACTCATGAACTGTGAGATGATAACCTGAGCTGAAATCAAGAGTCAGATGCTTAACTGAGCCACCCAGGTGCCCCTGCTGTAACTCTTACATATTTTTGTCTTGTACTTATCAGCTCTGAGAGATCTTTAATATAAAAAGACAAATAACAATAAAACAATTATTTTGGGACACCTGGCTGGCTCAGTCAGTAGAGCATGCAACTCTTGATCTCGGAGTTGTAAGTTTGAGCCCCATGTTGGATGTAGAGATTACTTAAAAACAAAATCTTTAAATTTTTTTTTTTTTAACATTTATTTATTTTTTGGGGACAGAGAGAGACAGAGCATGAACGGGGGAGGGGCAGAGAGAGAGGGAGACACAGAATCAGAAACAGGCTCCAGGCTCTGAGCCATCAGCCCAGAGCCCGACGCGGGGCTCGAACTCACGGAGCGCGAGATGGTGACCTGGCTGAAGTCGGACGCTTAACCGACTGCGCCACCCAGGCGCCCCAAAAACAAAATCTTTAAAAATAAATAAGTAAAAATAAAACAATTATTTCACCATTTCTTACCTTCAGGCAAACGTAATAAGTGATTTCTTCTGACGTTCAGGTCTCTTAGGGCCTCCAAATTACCAACTTGGGAAGGTATTGTTTGAATTTCATTGCAGCTCACATCCTATTTCAAAAAGATATAAAGTAAAGAATTTTTCTAATATTACAAATTTGTCTGCTTTAAACCATCTGTAAAATGAGGTTAGATAAAGATAATACCTATGGTCTGTCTTAACTGTAAAAAAAATTATGATTCTACGTCCAAGAATAAATCCATAGTTTGTACTAGCATTTAATTTTAAAAACTTATAGGCTTCTGATTTTATAGATATTATATGAATCTACATTAATTTTATGAGAACAAAAATTAAATGACTTAGGATGTGGACAGGAAGCTTAGTATCAGATCAAATGAAAATTCTAGTGAAAAAGTAAATTAGAAAAAACTATAAAAACATCTATTTAGGACAATATTTTATTAAAAACAATTTTTTTTTTACATTTATTTATTTTTGAGAGACAGAGAGAGACAGAGCGCAAGCTGGGGAGGGGCAGAGAGAGAGGGAGACAGAATCTGAAGCAGCCTCCAGGATCTGAGCCATCAGCACAGAGCCCGATGTGGGGCTCAAACTCACGAACCATGAGATCATGACCTGAGCTGAAGTCAGACGCTCAACCGACTGAGCCACCCAGGCGCCCCAGTATTTTATTTTATATGTATTTTAATGAGACTGGAAGAAAAAACCAAAACAATGATAAAAATTATAATGATAAAATTAATTGAAAGGAAATCCTACTTTCAAAATACCAGTTCACCTGCTCAAGAATATAAAAATGCACTGAAGATGACTCAAATCATTCTTTATGAAACTGAAAGTGAGGGGAAAATAGTAAAGGGCACATAACTCATAGGCTATGGAAAAAATAGATACTGCCCTATTGGCATTTGATCAAGTTGGTACCAAGACATGTATTATGTAAGCCTTCTGGTATCTTGGTCAACAGTTTGATAACACAGATTCTGAAAAGAGGCTGACTACAGATTCCAAGACTGACAAATTCAGAATTCCATAACTCTGAGACAAGCCACGAAAATGTACAAATCCATGGGGAACAGTAGGAAGTTGTCTAGGTTAATAAAAGCTCCAAGATGCCATATTAACACTTAAAACTCCTCTAGTATATGAGTAAAAAGAAAATATTAATAGACTTAACTATTAGAAAAGACCACTTGCCAAAAACTTCAAACATTATTTTAAAATTTTCCCATAATATTCTTAGAGGAAATAATATTATTTTTACTTTTCCTACCAATTAATGACTGAAGTAGAATCAGTAGCTGTATTTTTTATTCCAATGCTCTGAGCAGCAAAGTTAAAAGGAAAGAGGTTGAAAGGATAGGGAAAATTGAGCCGAGCCAGAAGACAACAGTAATTTATAATATTTCTCTTGGAAAATGTGTATCTTGAAAGATAGAGGTTTATTTTCACTTAAAAATGAAGGGAAACAGGGGCTCCTGGCTGGTTCAGTCAGAGGAGCATGAGACTCTTGATCTCAGGGTCATGAGTTCAAGCCCCACATTTGGTGTAGAGATTACTAAAAAAATAAAATAAAATAAACTTAAATAAAAGGGGGAAATAAAAGAAAGAAGCAACAGATGTTGTAAGAACAGGTTCCACTGAGTGGGAATCAAGAGCTTATTAAAAAAACATTATTTTAATAAAATAAAAAAAATAACTGGGTTCTGAATAAACAAACATACATTTTTGACTTTATTTCCTAGATCTAACTGCCTCTAAATAAATAGTAGTCTAGTATCTAGACTCCAGATTTAACATATTTGTGAATTTTTACATGTGATTGTTTACATTCATAATCCACCTGAAAAAAAGAGAGAGCTACTGTGTGGTCCAGTTAAATTATACATGTATTTTTTGTTCATGATGTCTATCTTTGTTAATAAACCTACATGGAATGATCCTCCCAAATCTCAATGGACATAACTGTATTGGACCATTTCAGAAATATGAAATGTGGGCTCTGGAGTTAAGATAGATTGGTTTAAAATTCTACCTCAGTTATGGAACCTTGGGCAAATTACTTAACCTATCTAAGTGCTAGTTTCTTCAGCTGTAATAAGATGATAAGTATTATACCTAATTCATAATGTTACTATGGTGATTAAATGGGAAAAGTCTCATTCCCATGCCCAGGACATAAGTACTAAAGAGTAACAAGGAGTGGTTCATCAAAGTTAAGCTTCTTAGAAAACAGAAGGCAGTAAAGAATAGCTTACTTTAGAGAGGGAGCTAGGTGCTAGAGATAGCATGTAAGGCAAAAAAAAATAAGCCTGATCTTTGCAGTGTCCAGTCCCCGAGAGGGGCTCACCCCAAATCAGAACACTGACGCTATTGAGATTTAATGTAAAAATCTAAATGCATTGTTAACTTATATCTCAAAAGCTTATTAGCATAGAAATCACTTAATATTGGTTAGAGTTTAATTCTGATGACTTTGTCCCATTCCCCGTGGGCCTATTAGACTTGTACTTTCAGTTCTTGCTTAACTCTGTGCTGAAGCATTTCAGTACTGATCAACCAGCAAAACTTCACTATTGATACCTGGAAAAACTCAAAAAGACACCTTAATATTGAATCTTTCCTTACTACAAAACAGAATATGGTATGACTATGGATACATATACATGTGGAGCAATAAAAAAGTAAAAACTTACAAGTTCTGTTAAGTGTCTGAGATGTCCAATTTCTTCTGGAAGTGACACCAATTTGTTATTACTAGCAATTAAGACTTTCAATGGTAAATTACACAAATGTACTGGCAATGTTGACAGCTGGTTCCGACTAAATGGGTAAGTAGAAGAAGAAAATAATTAGAACCCACCATTCAAGAAAAAAATTTTCATCTTTCCCATCCTATACTCAGTAAAGTGACAAACATTAAGTCATGGAAGGAGCAAACAGGGTATTAGATTTGGGTTCTAGCCTCCATTTCCTCACTTATCAGCTTTGTGGTTTTAGGCATGATATTTAACTTATCTGCTTTTTATAGATTCCTCATCTGTAAGTTGAGGATTTTAATCCTTATCTACCTATCCTACAGGGCCCTGTACCATAAAACTCCTTTCTATAATGATGTGCTACATAAACACATATTATTACTTTATTCAAGTTAATTTTATGTAAGATAAAGTAATTTAAAAATACGGTAGGGGCACCTGGGTGGCTCAGTCAGTTAAGTGTCTGACCCTTGATTTTGGATCAGATCATGCATGATCTTATGGTTGGTGAGATCAAGCTCCACATCAGGCTCTGCACTGAGTATGGAGCCTGCTTGGGATTCACTCCCCCCACTCCCCCACCTCTCAAAATAAATAAACAAACATTAAAAAAAAATAAGGTAGTGGCACCTGGGTGGCTCAGTCGGTTAAGCGTCCGACTTCAGCTCAGGTCATGATCTCGCAGTTCTTGAGTTCGAGCCCCATCAGCTGTGCTGACAGCTCAGAGCCTGGAGCCTGCTTCAGATTCTGTGTCTCCCTCTCTCTCTGCCCCTCCCCTGCTCATGCTCATGCTCTGTCTCTCTCAAATATTAAATAAACATTAAATAAACATTAAAAAAAAAGGATAGATGACTATCACCCTCTCCCCTTCCTACTAAAAAAGGGTTATAAACATAAAAGTAGTTGTAATCAATCTACTTCTCTCATCATTACATACATTATAATCAAATGTACATAAATGATTCAAATATAGTTCTATAGTGACAGGTTATGATTTTAAATATATCATGTCAGCTGAAGTATAGAAATCTTTTATTTATATAAAAATATGCAAATCAGAGCTAAAAGTACACATCTATCATTAGGATAAAAGTAAGTTAAAATATTACTTTTATAGATTTAACTTTTTACTCTCTAGGGTCAATTGGCCCCATTTTCAAAATCTTTTGCTGATTTTACTAACATAGATCATCAGCCTTTAAAGCTTTTTAAATAACTCTATTTCTAGACATTTATCTTAAGGAAAGAGAAAAATAAACATTTACATATCAGAGCCTCTGTTAATACTACTTTTAGCATGGCAAAAAACTGAAATAAACTAAATATCCAAGAGGGAAAACGAGTTTTAGAAGTATATAAACTATACAATAAAATGTTTACATATAAAATATTTCCTGAGTATTTCATGACGAGGGGAAAAACTCACTTAAAAATTTGACTAAAAGCCTGGAGAAAAAGGAAAATATCACCTATAATTAAAAAACTCAGATACAACATTTTGATGAATATCTTTTATACCTCTCTACATTTTCTCATTTTCTCCAATGAACATTTATAACTTTTATAATGAAAAAAAAAAGTCTTCTAAGATATAAAAAAATGGAAATGAGTCAAATAAATGCATTTACACATTCAGAACTCAGTACACAAAAATAAATAATCACAAGAATGAAAGTACTTTCAGATCTACTATCCTCATTTGATAAAGCTTATTTGAAAATCTAACTGGAGAACCACAGTCATAAGACTGTTGCAATCCTATCAGACTAATGACATTTATAGTTACAAAGCTAAAGACAAAGGGAGAAACAAGGAGGATATAGGAAATATTGTTAATTCAGCCTAAGAACATGTATTGATACTGCAGATATGGACAGATAATGTAAATTTTAGTGAAAGCCAAGAGAGAACTGAAAAGACTACATGAAACCAAAAATCAAAAAAGAAGAAGAAAAAAGGAGGAGGAGGAGGAGGAGGAGAAGAAAAAGAAGAAACAACAACAACAAAAACAACATCCTTACCTAATATTTAAGAATGTTAGAGCTTGTAGGTTTAGAATTGCTTCTGGTATATACCGAATACAATTTTGGTATAAGTTGAGATTCTCAAGAGAAACAAAATGACATGCTTCTATGGGAATTTCTGAGAGGCGATTTCGTGACAGATCTGAAAGAAGAATAATGTATATTATTTTACATGGAACTTATTTTATTGAAATGTTAATAAATGGAACTTATTTTATTGAAATGTTAGGTAAATAAGCAGGTTTCATAATTGTTTGAATTCCCCAGAGTTCCCACTGTAGAGACTCGTCCAGAGTAAACATTCATATACTTATTAATCTATTGAAAAAAACATTTTAACATATGCCTCTACATCTTTTTGCCGGGAAATACTGATTCTTTTTGAATCTCCACATATACTGAAAAAAATAAAACCATTATTTTTTGCAAGTAACACAAATTCTAAGGCACATCTGCCTACAGTTACACCAAAGATCATAGTAAGTATCAAATATCCTAGGAAACAATGGATCCCTAAAATCCACCTTCTCAAAAGCACAGAAACATTCTGAGGTTTTTGGAAAAGCAAAGCAAAACTGAACAAAAAATACTGCCCTTTTCTTTACAAAGATTATCAGGGTCATGTCAAAAGGATTCAGGAAACATTTTTTGCTCCAACTGGCCAAAGATGAGACAATTTGAGCTTCAATAAGGATAATACTTGCAAAGGACTCAAATCTATCACATATATTGAATAATACTAGTTTATAATGATATCTCTCTCCCACCTCCCACACCAAAAGATAATAGAGAACCAATTCATTATCTTGTAAACTGATTAAGGGGAAAAAATCAAACATTTATCTCACCTTCCCTATATGAACTGTACCACTGAGTAAACCAAACAGATGAAAGAGAGGCATCTTTGTGTAAGCGTTCTAGCTATAAATGAAAAGTAATGATAGAATCTAGAATTGGGTACTGGGGCACCTGGGTGGATCAGTTGGTTAAGTGTCCAACTCTTAATTTCGGCTAGGGTCATGACCTCATAGTTTGTGGGATCAAGTCCCCATGTCCGGCTCTTTGTTGACAGTGTGGAGCCTGCTTGGGATTCTCTCTGGCCCTCCCTCTCCTTCTCTTTCAAAAACAAAAACAAAACAAAACAAAAGAAAAGTTTAGAATTGTGTATTAACGGCTATCTTTACAAGGGGCGCCTAGGTTGCTCAGTCAGTTGAAGTATCTGACTTCAGCTCAGGTCAAGATCTTGCATTTAGAGCGTTCAAGCCCCCCCTCGAGCTCTGTGCTGACAGCTCAGAGCCTGAAGCCTGTTTCAGATTCTGTGTCTCTCTCTCTCTCTGCCCCTCCCTCCACTCACACTCTGTCTCTAAAATAAACATTAAAAAAAAATTAAAAACAATGACAATCAGAAGTTGTATGCCTCCCTGTAGAAGAGAACATCATTTGTGGTCTTGCCAGAAGGACAGAACCTGCGTCTAATCAAGCGTTTGCAAACTTTCAGGAAGTGCTGAAGACAAAGGAATGTGCTGAAATACAGTCACTCTGTCATTATCCATTTAGATTTCGTTAAATATACTGTGAGATTCATTTGCTTACTACTGTTTTTCTCTTCTTCTCTTCTTCTGCCCAATCTTAAAGTCTCTGTTTGCAATTATTTGGTGAGAATCCTTTACTGAAAGCTTTTCCTAAATGGAGGACCTGAGTTCCTGCATATCCACAAGTATCTTGCTTTCACCATAAACATGTGAATAATACTTGGCTAGGTATAGGCACAGTTCCTTTCTCAGAAATCTGTAGATGTTATTTTACTATCTTCTAAGTTTCCAGTGTCCCCTTGCATAGTCTGGCACATATCTTGATGATTTTTCATTGTAAACAGCTTGGTTTTTTTTGTGCCCCCATCATCTTCAACACTCTGGTCTGGAACTCAACCTTTCTTCAAGTCAGAGAAATGCTCTCCTATTATACATTTAGTTGTTGCATCTCCTCCATTTGCTCTTTCTCTTTCTCTCTTTTTTTTTTTTCAACGTTTTTTATTTATTTTTGGGACAGAGAGAGACAGAGCATGAACGGGGGAGGGGCAGAGAGAGAGGGAGACACAGAATCGGAAACAGGCTCCAGGCTCCGAGCCATCAGCCCAGAGCCTGACGCGGGGCTCGAACTCACGGACCGCGAGATCGTGACCTGGCTGAAGTCGGACGCTCAACCGACTGCGCCACCCAGGCGCCCCTCTCTCTCTCTTTTTTATTTACTTACCTACCTACTTACTTACTTATTTATTTTTCTGTTTTGGTATACTCTTCTACTTAATGTTCCAGACCAGGAATTTAAGTCTCAACAATAATCATCCTTTCCACAAATTAATACATAAAAAAGCTCCCCCCTTTTCTTCATTTTCTTTTATGCTATGATTAGAAGCAAGTCACTTTGTTTCTCCTGAAAATCTAGGCTAATTTATCTTGTTTTGCCTATTAAATCTGTCATCTATCACTTCCAATTTCTATTTCTGTTCTATTTCACTGAAGTCACTTGTTCTTGATGCAATCCTTGTTCATCCTACCTCTGGCTGCTTAAGTTCCTTCAAGTGAATTACTTTCCTTTGCTAATTCATGGCTTGCCTCATCCTTGGAGCTCAGATCAAGCTGCCAGAGTACCCTGAATGGCAGTTAACACGAAGACTGAGGAAGCAATCTCTACAATGCACCAGAAGCTTCCACTGAGAGGCACAACTCTTACTGAAAACTCAAAAATTGTGATAGTTGCTCCACAGGCTTTTGCCTCTTGTTTTCATTTCAGTCACAGTATGTTCCCCAAACTTACATATTCCCTCCAGGCCACACCAGCCTGCAAACCTCAGAGCTGCTTACTCTGAAGTTGGGAAACAGATCACCATCTTGCCAAAATGCCTCCCCATATTGTATTCATTAGGAGAAAGTCAAAGACTCGGTTAATTTAAGACTAAAAATTTCCTACAGAATCACACCGTAAACAACCTCTTTCTTACTAAATGCAACAAGAATTATTTTTTATCAATTCCTGTTTAAATTTTATTAGTATAATTCTAAAAGTTGAAGAAAAGAGAGGCACCTGGCTGACTCAGTGGGAAGAGCAATGTGGCTCTTGATCTTGGGGTCATGAGTTCAAGCCCCATGTTGGGTGTAGAAATTAGTTAAATAAATAAACTTTTAAAAGAAGTCAAAGAAATGAAAGAAATTAATCTCATTTAAATTTTATTTAAATTTAACTTTATTTAAATTTAACCCTCTAAAATGACAATTCCAGGCAACAAAGCAGGGACTACTGAAAGTCAGTTTGCCTAATATGTGTATTACAGAGTTAAATTACTTAAAATCTAGGAAAATGAAACAAACCACTTTTTTTTTTTTTTTTTTGTCCCCGAACTAGGGAGGGGAAAAAAATAACAGCAAGATATACACTAGGCTTAGATGCATCTCAATAATTTTTTTAATATTTAGCAAATTTAAATCTACCCAGCCGCCTGCTCAGCCCACCGACTGAGCCACCTAGGAGCCCTTGAATTAAGGATTCTTATAAGGTCTTCCACTTAAACTGTATTTTTATTTCAATTTGGGAAGATAAGTAGCTTCTTTCTTATGTTAACTGAGTAAATTCACGAAAGAGTCATTTAGGTCATTGATCATATTATGGAAAATATTGCAAAGTACTAATGGTTTATAAAAAATATTTTTTGTCATATTCTCTCAAGAAAGAAATAATTTTATAGTCAAAGAAATGTGTTTTAAAATGACTTCAAAAAACAACCTTCAGGGGGCACCTGGGTGGCTCAGGTCAAGTGTCTGACTTCGGCTCAGGTCATGATCTCATAGTTCGTGAGTTCGAACCCCATGTCAGGCTCTGTGCTGACAGCTCGGAGCCTAAAGCCTGCTTTGGATTCTGTGTCTCCCTCTCTGCCTCTCTCCTGCTCACACTCTGTCTCTCTCTCTCACACACAAAAACAAATACACATCAATAATAAAAAATAAAAAATGTTCAGTTTAAAAAAACTATGGATATGTATTATTCTTAAAACTCTTTCTGGTTATAAAAGCAATGATGTTAAGCTTCATACATGCAGAAGACAGCATAAAACATACATATTTTCCAATAAATAAGATACTGCCGGTACCCTAGAAGCCCCAGTGGAGCTCTTCCCAATCATAACCCTTTCCCTCTCCAAAAGAGAAACCAATCTACTGATTTTAGTGATAATCATTTCCTTGACAATTTTAACCCTTCATCATTTTTAGTATTAGTTTCCTATTGTTGCTGTAACAAATTCAGGGGCTTAAAACAACACAAGTTCATTATTGTATGTTTCTGGAAGTCAGAAGTCTGAAATAAGTCTCAATGGTGGACTAAAACCAAGATGTATTGGCAGGGTTGCATTCCTTCTGGAGCTTTTAGGGGAGAATCTATTTCCTTCTCTCTTCCAGCTTCTAGAGACGATCCACATTCCTTGGCTGATAGTTCCATTCCTCCATCTTCAAGCCAGCGATGTCAGGTAGAGGCCTGATGCTGCCCTCTCTGGGTCTCCTTCCGCTTTTAAGGATCCCATAACATGTTAAGGATCCTGCGCATCTCTCCTTGCTCCCCCAATAATCCAGGACAATCTTATTTTAATGACTGCTGATTAGCGCCTTAATTCCCCTTTGCCATGTAACCTAACATATTCATAGGTTAGGATGTAAACATTTTTAGGGGGCCATAATTCAGCCTACCATATCTATGAACTTTTTAAAAGGAGAAGCATACTGTATGTGTATTTTTTTGTGTGTGACCTTCATTCAACATTTGAGATTTGATGAGGATAAAAGCAGGAAAATGATCACCTTTAGCCAAGAAGGCTGACCTACAGCCTGCACAGTTTTGATAAGAATCAAACACTGCTCGTTGCTATATTCTTTTTTTTTTTTAATTTTTTTTTTCAACGTTTATTTATTTTTGGGACAGAGAGAGACAGAGCATGAACGGGGGAGGGGCAGAGAGAGAGGGAGACACAGAATCGGAAACAGGCTCCAGGCTCTGAGCCATCAGCCCAGAGCCTGACGCGGGGCTCGAACTCACGGACCGCGAGATCGTGACCTGCCTGAAGTCGGACGCTTAACCGACTGCGCCACCCAGGCG